ACCAATTAAAAGAAACAGACTGGCAGAATGGATCAAGAAACAACATCCAACCATATGCTGTCTGCAATAAACCCATCTAACCCAGAAGGAAACTCACATACTGAAAGTCAGAGGATGGAAAACAATACTTCATGCAACAGGAACCGAACAAAAAGCGGGGGTAGCTATTCTGTTTGCAGATAATGTGAACTTCAGACCAAGAATGATCCTAAGAGATAAAGAAGGTCACTACATACTGGTTAGGGGAAAACTTCAAGAGGAAGAGATAACTATCTTAAATATATATGTACCAAATTCCAGAGCACCCAGTTATACAAAGCAAATAGAAATGAAAAATCAAATTAGCAATAACACAGTTATTGCAGGAGACCTTAACACACCATTGACACCAAGGGACACATTGACCAGACAGAAAAGCAGCAAAGAAGTAACAGAACTGAATCACACATGTGAACAAATGGACTTGGTAGACATATACGGAGTGATCCACCCAACAACATCAGAATACACATTCTTCTCAGCAGCACATGGGACATTCTCTAAAGCAGACCATATACTAGCTCACAGAACATATTTAAATAAATACAAAAGAATTGAAATTATCCCCTGCATGTTATTACATCATAGTGCCATGAAACTAGAAATTCATGATAAAAGATACTGCAAAAATCCCACACACACATATAAATTGAGTAATACACTCTTGAGCAATCAGTGGGTCACAGGGGAAATTGAAGAAGAAATTAAACAATACCTACAAGCAAATGAAAATACAAATATGACTTACTGGAATCTGTGGGATGCAATGAAAGCAGTCCTCAGAGGAGAATTTACTGCACTGAGTTCCCACATCAGGAAAACAAAACGAATACAAATAAACAACCTGATGCTACACCTCCAACATCAAGAAAAAGAAGAGCAAGTCAAGTCCTAAGTCAAAAGAAGGGAGAAAACTATAAAAATCAGAGCAGAACTTAATACAATAGAGACTAAGAAAACAATCCAAAAAAGTCAATGAACCAAAGAGTTGGTTCTTTGAAAGAATAAATAAAATTGATAAGCCCCTAGCCAACCTTACTTTAAAAAGGAAAGAAACAGCTCAGATTCATGCAGTGAGGAATGAAAAAGGCAAAATCACTACAGACTCTGTGGAGATACAGAAGATCATCAACACTTATTTCAAAAAAACTCTACTCTCATAGGTTCAATGACACAGAAGAAATGGACGGATTCCTAGAAACATATGAAGTACCAAACCTGGGTGAAGAAGATGTAAAACTGCTGAATAACCCAATTTCTATTAATGAAATTGAAAATGTAATTAAGTTCCTACCTACAAAGAACAGCTCAGGCCCAGATGGATTCACTGTGGAATTTTACAAGAAATACAAAGAAGACTTACTGCCAACACTCCTCAAACTCTTTAATGAAATCAAAAGGGAAGCAATTCTTCCTAAGCTATTCCTGGAAGCAAATATTGCTCTAGTACCAAACCCTAAGAAAGGCCCAACTAAAAAAGAGAACTACAGGCCAATCTCCCTAATGAACACAGATGCAAAAATCCTCAATCAAATATTGGCAAACAGGATGCAGCAAATCATCAAGAAGATTATACACACGACCAAGTGGGATTCATCCCAGGCATGCAGGGATGGTTCAACATATGTAAGTCAATAAGTGTAATCCACCATATCAATAAAACCAAAAGTAAGAATCACATGATCATCTCTATAGATGCAAAAAAAGCTTTAGATAAGATCCAACACTCATTCATACTAAGAACCTTACAGAAAATTGGAATAGATGGTCTTTACCTCAATATGATAAAGGCCATCTATGACAAACCAACAGCCAGCATCATATTAAATGTACAAAAACTGAAAGCCATTACCTTAAAATCAGGCACAAGATAAAGATGTCCCTTTTCACCGCTCCTATTTAACATAGTACTGTAAACACTAGCCAGAACATTAAGACAAGAGAGAGAAATAAAAGGAGTAAAGATAGGAAAAGAGGAAGTTAAATTATCATTATTTGCAGATGACATGATACTGTACATAGAAGACCCCCAAAACTCCATTGAAACCTAAGATTTAACAAATAAATTTAGCAGTGTAGCTGGATACAAAGTCAATACTCAAAGATCAATAGCATTTCTATACGCTAACAACAAAATCACTGAGAAAGAAATAAAAGAAGCCACACCCTTCACACAAACATCCCAAAACATGAAATACTCAGGAATTAATCTCACAAAAGAAGTAAAAGATCAATATAGGGAAAATTATAATACCTTGAAAAAAGAAATTAAAGAGGACCTCAGAAAGACATTTCTTGCTCATCGATAGGAAGAATAAATATTGTAAAAATGGCCATTCTCCCAAAACTTTTATACAGATTCAATGCAATCCCAATGAAAATACCATCAACATACTTCATAATCTAGAGAAATTAATCCAAAAATTCATCTGGAAGCAGAAGAGACCTAGAATAGCAAAGGCAGTTCTAAGCAGCAAAGGTAAGACAGGAGGCATCACAATCCCTGACTTGAAGTTATACTACAAAGCAAATGTAATAAAAGCAACTTGGTACTGGAATAAAAACAGATCTGAAGATCAATGGAATAGATTAGAAGATAGAACCACAACCAGCAACACACTCAACCACTTTATCTTTGATCAAGGGGCCAAACGTGTTCCCTAGAAGAACAACAGTCTCTTTATTAAATGGTTCCATAAGCCAAAAACTAAAACTAGACCCATGCCTATCACCATATACTAACCTAAAATCTAAATGGATCAAAGATCTGAATATTAAAACAGAAACACTAAATCTGTTGGAAGACTAAGTAGGTAAACATCTTGAAGACATAAGGGTAGGTAGAGAATTCATGAATAGGAATCACACTGCATGGGAAATACTTCCCAGAATCAATAGCTAGGATCACATCCTATTAAAAAGTTTCCGCATGTCAAAAGAAATCTCCAGCATAGTGAAAAGAAAACCCAAAAACTGGGAAAAATCTTAGTGAACTGTCCTTCAGACAAAGGACTTCTGTCTAAAACATATAAAGAATTTAAAAAAAAAAAATTCAGAACCCTGAAATTCAAAGACCAAATCCAAAAATGGGCAGCTGAGATGAATACACAGTTCTCAGATTAATACAAATGGCAAATAAATACATGAAAAAATGTTCCTCATCATTAATCATTAGAGAAATGCAAATTAAAACCACACTGAGATTGCATCTCACTCCTGATAGAATGGCCAAGATCAAGAAAACTACCAACAAAAAATGCTGGAGAGGCTGTGAGAAAAAGGGACCTCTCCTGCACTGTTGGTGGGAGTGTAGACTGGTGCAACCATTGTGGAGGTCAGTCTGGAGATTTCTCAAAAAGCTGGGATTGTAAGTCCAATTTGTTCCAGCTATTCCACTTCTAGGCATATTCCCAGAACTGAAAACATCATACCACAGTGATATAGCACCCATGTTTATAGCAGCACAATTTGTAATAGCCAGATCTTAGAAAAAACCTAAGTGTCCATCAACTGAGGAATGGATAAAAAAGCTGTGGTATTTTTATACAATGGAGTACTACTCAGCTATAAAGAATGATCACACTGATATATTTATAAATAAATGGATGCAACCTGAGACCATACTCATAAGCAAAATAAATCAAACTCATATGTATAAATACCATATAGTCTCCCTAGTACAAGAAATGGTAAGAGCATATAAGAGTTTATAGTACTAATGGTTCCCCATTACATTCAAAGCCTTATAATGTCTATATTCATTAGTTGAAATGGTTCTATCCTAGTCTGATTTTATTATGTGATAGTATAAACGGCTATGTTAAAGAAAACAAGGTATTATAATAACCTGTGCTGATTTAGTATCATCTTACTCTGAAGTCCTACTGTGCTTTTGTTTTTCTGTTTCCTTTGGTTCTGTCCTGTTATATCTTATTGGATATTATTAGGTGTGATAGTATAAACAAATTTTCTATGGAAAATGAGATAATATAGTAGCCATTGTTCTCTGCTATTTGGTTCTGAAAGCCCTGTAATGCTTTCATCCTCTTGAATGATTTTATACGGTTTGGTTATGTTTGATACTATCATATATGAAGCTATGCTCAACTACTTCAAAGAAAGAGACATTATGGTAGTTACTGTTAATTATGGGTTGTCTTGTGGTAAAATGCTGTTACTACATTGTTCTGATCTGATCTGCTTTGTTATGTCCTCTTTTATCTTTATCTTTTTTTATTTTTTTGGTCTTATTCGTTTTTATTGGTACCAGGGATCGAACTCGTGACTCCCTGCTTGCAAGGCAGGCGCTTATGCCGCTGAGCTAAATCCCCAGCCCCTTATCTCTTAAAATAAAAAAAAAGAAACCAAGGTAAAGATGAAGAAGATGCCCTTCTCTACCTTCTCAACCTTCTCTACCTCGTCCTTAACAGTAGAAAAGATATGGCTGTGTTTCATAGAACTTGTTCAAAGAATCTGATGAGGTGTCAAATTAAGGTCATTCACAAGAACATCAATCTTCTTGTCCTTGTGAAATACTAAAATTTGAATATTGTTTAGTCAGTTGTTCTGTACTCTTGGAGATATAGTTGGAACAAGAGTTCTGTAAAACTCTTAAGACTTGAAATTATTACATTCTGTAAAGATAACATTAAAAGAGAAGCCTGTAATTTTGACTGGTTGTCTTGATAGTTTGTTCCTTTGTTAATACTGTAATAATGTGTGTTCAAATTGCAGAACAATTTGAAGACTTGTAACTTTGCTCTGTCAAGTTAGAAGAGAATCATTGATACATTTCTCTTTTCCTATATGTAAAAAGAGAAATTCCTATTAAAGTGGTTGCTTTCTTATTTTAACAAAAGTTTAACAAGGGATATTATGTGTATGAAAATTTAATATCTAATATATTCAGGAATTCATGTACATATTCTCAGATTAACAGTGTTTTTTCTTTTTCCACATAGACTGTCCTTCATCTACCTGGGTTCAGTTCCAGGACAGCTGTTACATTTTTCTTCAAGAAGCCATTAAAGTAGAAGGCATAGAGGATGTCAGAAATCAGTGTACTGGCCATGGTAAGGAGCTGTCTCCCCCATGTTAGTAGTTTTCATTAAAAATTGCTTTGTCTTATTTCACTTTTAACTGGGTACTTAGAATTAATTTACAACTTTTACTCTGTGACACACAAGCCACAGTTGTTGGGCAATATTGTTCAGAGTAGAGTGACAGAACCTTAGCAACATCATTGTCTAGTTAATGTGTGTTCCTGTGCCAGGCATTGTGTTTAATTACTTCACATTTTACCTGTAAAGAAGTTTATTCTCCTTTAATCAAGGGAAGAAATTAATTCACTTATTACTACCAACATCACACAGGTAATGACAGACAGAGCCAGGATTCTATGTCTCACCAACTCACTTGTGTTTTCCTTGAATCTAGAGTGGTCTTTGTGACTTGCTTTGACCAAGTAAATGCAGCTCAGGTGACATCCTAGAATATCTGAGGCCCAGACTTTAAGAGGACTAACAGATTCTTCTGGAAGCCAAGAGAAGAAAGTGATTCAAAGATCAAGTTATCAGTTGTGTTAGATGCTTCTGACAAAAAGGACAAGAACAAGGAACTCATCACTGGATACAGTAATGTCACTGTCATTCACATTTTGGACTTTAGAAATCTCTGTGGAGTGTTGAGTACAAAATCCAGAGTGAAGTCAATTTAAGAAAAAAAATATGGAGAAATAAATTGAAGGAAAATGAATACAAATAACTCATCTCTAGCAGAAAATTCAAGAGCCATAGAACAGTAACAAAAGGGGGATGACAGTATATGGAAATAGAAATTTTTCAAAGTCAGCATAAATAGCATCAACTTGGGGGCTGGGGATTTAGCTCAGTGGCATAAAGTGCCTGCCTTGCAAGCAGACAGTCGTGAGTTCGATCCCTGGTACTGATAAAAAAAGGAAAAAGACAAAAAAAAAAAAAATAGCATCAATTTATCTAAATTTTGGAATGTAATTCTTAGGTTTAAGCCAACAATTTAAAGAAATTATAGACTCATTGTAAAAACAGGATACTTAAAAGCAAAGTTAATGCTCAGCATATAGTATATCTTTGCAAATTACCTTCTTTTGATTTTGATTTGTTGAAACAGGATCTCCCTATTCAGCTCAGGCTGGCCTTGAGCTTGCAGTCCTCCTAGTGTCAGCCTCTCAATTATTGGGATTATAGGTGTGCACCACCCAATCCTGCTATCTTCCTTGTATTTCAGTTTTATAATCTGTAACATGTTATGATTATCTATTTATAAAATAAAAATAAAATACATATAGTTCTCTTTGACTGTAGATTAAGAATTCTTGATTATTGTTATTCTGCCTGGAAAGTGCTGAAATGTAAGATTACATAAACCCACAATAGTCTTACTTTGTGGGTAGAATAGGATAAAAAAATTATTTGCTGGAGCATACATTTTGTGTTCTCTGGAAATAGTTTTATAATTTCACATAATGAAATATTTAAAATCTAAAAACATACATATATTTTTGAATGAAAGTTTCACTGTATGGCCTAGGCTGGTCTTGAAACTCTGAGCTCAAGTGATCCTCCCATCAGAGCCTTTCACATAGCTGATACTATAGACGTGCACCACCACGCCCAACAAAATGTCATCTAAATGTTTAAAAATTTTATTTTAAAATGAAAAAAAAAAACAAAGACAATGATACAGAATGTCAAAACAGAATAGGGTATTAACAATGGTCAATATGTTGCTGTTCACAACTGCTCAGAGCAGTTCTATCTTCTATCTTTAAAATGAAGATACTGTTACTTGTCTCTAGAGATGCTGTTATAACTGTGAGTGTGTCCAGGTGTATTGTTGTCTTTAAAGTACTTGTTTAGATTACCAGACATATGCATGAAAAAATGATTAAACACTGAAAGCACAAACTGTTCTGTTGTTGAGCTAATAGAGATTAGAAGTATAATCTATCATATATCTTTCATTGTCACAATATCTTATACATTTTGCACTTCAATAACTCCTTCAGTTTTTTATACTGTAACATATTGTTCATCCGTGTGTGTTCAAAACATTTCACCCTTGAGCATGATCTCAAGTTACATTCATTTACCTACAAGAGACTGGAGGTTATCCTTCTTTATAGCTGAGTAGTACCTCATTATATAAAAATACCATAACTTTCTTATCCATTCTATGTTTGATGGGCAAGCTATTCCTTGTTTTTTCTTGGTTCCTGTCACATGAAGTATTGTTTTCTCTCCGTTGACTTTCAGTCTATGAATTTCCTTTCAAGTTAAACATATTTCTTGTATACAGCATATTGAAGGATTTTGTTTCTTGATCCACTGTTTCTTTTTATTGGTGAATTGAGGCCATCTACATTAATGGTTATGACTTATATGTATTCGCTTGTCTTTGTCATGTTATTTTCCTGCTGTTGGCTCCCTATTGCACCCCTCTGCTTACTTGCTGCCTTGCTTGGTGATTTCTTTCTGTTGTTCTTGGAACTGTGGTCATTTTTATCTCTCTGTAGAGTATCTTTCAGTATTTTCAGTAGGGTTGGTTTGGTGGTCATGAATTTCTTCAGTTGTTCTTTGTCATGGAAGTATATTATTTCTCTATTAAATCTGACAGATAGTTTTGTGGGGTACATCAGTCTGGGTTGGAAGTTTATTTCTTTCAGGAATTGAAATACTTCAAGCTTTTCTTGACTTGATGGTTTGTGTTGAGAAGTCTGCCGTGATTCTGATGGATTTTCCTTTATAGGTGATCTTTTTCTTTTCTCGATCAGCTTTTAATATTCTGTTCTTGTGCTAAATTTCTTGGATCTTGATTATTATGTGTCTAGGTGTAGATTTATTTTGGTTATGTGGATAGTTGGATTCTATGTGTCTCACTTATCTCAATGTGAGGTCCTTTTCCCATGCTTGGGAAGTTTTCTGCTATTACTTCTGTAATAGTCTTTTTGTATCATTTGTGTTACTCTTGCTTTTTTTGCTGACACCATCAGTTTTAAATTATTTTTCTTGGTGTTATCTTGCAGCTATTGAATTGTTATTTCATGGTCCCTTGTTATTTTTAAGAGATCTTTCCTTTTGTGATCGCTAGCCACAATCCAGTCTCCAAGGTCTAAAAGTCTATTTTCAGTTTTGTTGAAATGGTTTTGCCAGCTTTAGTTGGAGATTTAATTTCCTGTATATCTCTTTGAATCTGTTTCATTCATTCTAATTCTGTCCTATATTGTCCATTCAAGGTTTCCATCATTTTTATGTTCCTCTTTTTATTAATCTATGTCTTCTTCAGATATGCTCAGCAAGCCTTTCATTATGGTTGTCATTTCTTCTTCTACATGAGATATTCTGAAGTTGCTTCTTTCTTTTTTTCACTGGGAATCAAACTCAGGACCTTACCCTTGCCAGGCAGGCATAAAGTTGTTTCTTAACCTCAGTTGCTATCATTTGAGACATTTCAAGTGTGCAATTTTCATTTTATTCCATGTCTATGTTTCCTAGACTTACTCTGTATGGGTTGCAGGTCTGAGATTGCGTTTTTCTCCTCGGTCTTGACATCTTCCTGGGTTCCTCTGAATGAGCCAATTGTGAGGTCCCATATGCTTCCCAAGTTGGCTGATCCTCTGTGGTATAGGCAAATGGGCCAGACCCTTGGGTTTTTCCAGGGAGGCAGTAGAGCACAGGGCAGGCTTCTCTGGACCCAGGCAGTTACACTGAAGCTTCCCTGAAGGTGGGCAAGCAAGGGTGTGACTGGTTGCTTCTCCCAGCTTTCACTGGCTCCTGGCAGAAGGTTCTCTCAATGGTTAAATGTTGTTTTTTGAGCCAAGGTCTTTGCTTGTATTGCCCTGGCTATCATCAAACCTGAGTTCTTCTGCTTTAGTCTCCCAACAGCTGGGACTACCGGATTATGCTTCCACACCTAGCAAATTTTTTTCTGCAAGTGCTGAGGAGTGAAGCAGGACCTCACATATGCAAAGCACATGTTCCACTATTAAGCTACATCCTCAGACTTAGTTTTTGAAAAGTTTGGAGTAAATGCAGTTTATGTATTTCACTCTTTGGCCTGAAGTACATGCTTGGGTTTATCCTCTAACTGTGATGTTCTTTACCTCAAACTAAAACGTGGTAAGTTCACATCTTTTTTCAACTGAACTAAGTAAGCTGGTGACACATGACATTCCTCAGTTATTTAAGGATACCTTTTAGGAGACTTTAATGCCTCTTTCATTTTATTAATGGTTTTTCGTAGGCATATTCACAAGTCCAGCATTCAGATATGCCCTTTACCTTAAAGAAAATTCTGACAACCCATGAATATAACATTTTGGAAGGTAATCAAATGTTGTACACAAAACTGTGTTCTACTGGGATGTAGTTTAATTAAAACCATATTTAATGGTAAAATTCTAGCATAAAGTTTCTAGTATATATTTTCCTTTCAAAAATTATTACCTACTAAATGATGAACTGTGGCTTAGAAAAAAAAAGAAAATTTGATGTACAAAGATAGTTTTAAGGCAGTTGAATAAACTAATAGCACTTTTGCTGGTCTAACAAGATTTTTTAAAATGAAGTTTCCCCTATAATTATTTTCTATCTTTTAAAAATAATTTCCATATATTATACTTAGACATAAACATAATTTCAATAATAAATATTAGAGGTACAAGCAAAGACTTATTCCTATATCTGTGTTAACTTGCATGAACCACATCAAAGTTTACTGTCCAGCTTTGTTTCAGTTAATCAACTGTTACTATACAGAAGGAAAAAGTAATACTTGATTCAAATGTAGTTTCTTCAACAAAGCAAAACTAAACTAAAACCATTGTTGTGGCTTAAGTATCCCCACAGCCTCATACTGTCATGGAGGCAGCTGACTGTAGTGTTCATGATTGGTTCATTGTCTAGCGCTGGGATTGACAGTGCAAGTACTGCACCTGCCCAGAGGCGAGTAGCTGGCATACATTATAAGGGAGAAAAAGAGCCTTGCTTTTTCTCTTTTGCCCTTTCACTCTTGTTGCTTGTGGCTGCCATGAACTGAATGGCTGCCCCTTAGCCATGCCACCCTGCCTTGGAGCCAGCTGACTATAGACTGAAATCTTCAAAAACTGTGAGCTAAATAAACCTTTCCTTCCTTAATTTTGGGCATTAGATATTTTGTCTCAGCAACTAGAGAAAAGTAACCAAGACAAACACCAAGCAACTCTGTGGACTGAATTTTGAGTGGTTGTTTAGAAATGCATTAGCTTTACTTGTTGAAAGAGAAATTTTAAAGTGCACATACAAATTTGTTTCATGCCTAAATTTGTTTTGAAATTTGGGCCTAAAAACAGTATGTCTTTTTCTTCTGCTAAAATTTATAAATTAGGCACAGGATCCTCCTGGGTTTAGTCCCAACCATGAAAAACAATTTGGATTGTCTTGCTGATTTTATTTTCTGCTGAACTCCAAGAGCAATGAGTTACATTCCCAGCTCCTTTTCATTTTTAAACTGAAACAGGGTCTGAGTTGCCCAGGTTGGTCTCAAACTTAAATCCTCCTACCTTGGTCTCCCAAGTGGCTAGAATTTACAGGTGGGATTTATAGCCACCATTCCTGGGTTCTAATTTGATTTTTAAATAGTTCCTCATACATTTTTAATAATCCATTTATTGGATTATCCTGCATATTTACTTCCACTCTAGAAACATCCATTTCATAGACGAGTCAGAAAACCAGCTGGTTAGTAAATTATTTATTTGGGCTTTGATTCAGACAGCAAGTTAGCATGAATTGTGTTTGAAGAAGAAAAATCCTAAGAAATACTACAATATTTATATTCAAAAAAGTTTTAAAGTCATGCAAAACTAAACTAATCATTGGGATATAAACTATAAGTCATCTGTTGCTTTTCGGAATTTATAATACTCTCAGTGCTTTGTGCCAGTTTAGTTAAATGTGCTCTTTCTTCTGCTAATGGTATTCATCAGGAGAAGCTAAAACTTACTTTGCAACATTTATATTTTCATTCTTTCCTTTTTGTATTATAAGCTAAACCATAGGCCACAGGAAGAATTAAAAACCCAAATTATATCTCAATAGGTAGTGTCACTGGTGATGCATTGTTAAAAAATTTTTTTGAATATATGCATTCTTTGGGGATTTATGCTGTCACTTAACAAAATGAAAGTGTGTCAGATTGCCTGGCATAATAATTTAAGTCTATTCAGTTTTTAATTAGATTACAATGTTAAAATCATTGAAAGTTCCATTGGCTGCCACAAGGTCAGAGAAAAGGATAAAAAACTCATCTCTAGATTATCAAGCCTAAACTATTAACATAAATATTTCTCTTGAGGATTTTTCTAAAGTGGCATTTTGGTCACCCTTCATTAGTAATTATTAGGATACAACAGATTACAAGTCTACACGACATTTAACAGACAAGGGGTCATAGCAGCTGGAGCTGATTTTAAAAAGCCATCAAATTTTTTAAAAAATTACAAACTCAAGAGAACCTTGCTGAATTCTGACTTAAGTACTGAGTATTTTAAAGTTATCTTATTTTTCCTTTAAAAGTTACTTTCTCATGACACAATGCATGATCATTATATAAGAAACTTTTTAAAAATCAAAAAAATTTTAAGTCAGAAACATTGGAGCATCCTAAAGTAACCATTGTTAACAGTTTGGTAACTATTCTTCTAGACTTATATCATGAATATTTCCAGTCTTTCAGTGTCATAAACAACATATGATAGTTGTGCCTGTTTATAATTTGTGAACATAAATTCAAATTAATATATTGCTTAAAATGATTTTATCTGAATATACATTATTAAGCATTGCTGCATCAAAGATATCTTAAGGGCTTTTGATACTTCCTACCAAAATCTTTCCAAAAGTTACACTAGTTTTTACCGAGTAGCTGCCTACTAGTTCCCATCATTCTACAAAACTATTCTGCAAATCTGAAAGTCTGCTTTTTATCTTATTTTAGCAGTCAGATTTGAGTCATCACACATTTCTTGTAATATTTTTGTGAGAGTAAATTGTTTTAACAGTGTAAGAGCATTTTTACCTGTTGAAATAAGCTTTTTTTTTTTTTAAATAAAAGAATTATACCTATCCAGTTTCTGATATCACTCTTTAACATTATGGTATGTTTTGATTTTTAGCTGTTTTATCTTTCCTCCTGTAAACTTACTATTTTCCAAAAAAGGTCTCCTTTAAAAGATGTAAAGGTGAAATGTATATAATTCATTATTTTATAACCTCATGACTTTAACTGATTGTGGAAAATGCTTTTTTCTCTCCCTCTAAATAATTCAGGAGCAGACATGATAAGCATACATAATAAAGAAGAAAATGCTTTTATATTGGATACTTTGAAAAAGCAATGGAAAGCCCCAGATGATATCCTACTAGGAATGTTTTATGATACAGATGGTAAGGGATATTTACCTTGTGAAATGCAAGTTTTTCTTTCTTTAATGTTAGTAAAATTTAGGGCTTTTCAGTTCTTCAGTTCTCTACATCAAATTGTTGTTTCCTGTGGCTCCAGGTACTGCATTTTCAGTGTGCAACTGTAACATGTATCATAGTATTGCCCAGAGTAGTTCAGTGTTTCACAAATGAGAGATACAGTTGATCCTCTTGTCTGGATTAAAATGTATTCTTATGTACTTTTATAATATGGCATGATCATAAGAGTTAATATTAGTGTCACCAGTTATAAAGATAAATTATTTATAAGGTTATATAATGTAAACATTTTTAGCACTATAAAAATTAAATATATAAACATTTAAAAATGACATGAAATTAAGGTTAGTATAAAGATATAAACTTTAAAATTTGTTGCCATGAAAGCATTTATTTTTTTGAAAAATAGGATGTTTAAGAACCAATAGCTGTTTAATCTTTTCAAAAGCTTGTCTCTACATAGACTATATCTCCTAATTTTAATCCTGCAAAAAATTTATTCACCTTAGTAATTTCCCACACCTGTAATCCTGTATCTTTATAGTTTTTTTTTTTAAATAAGTGAATCAATCCTTTTACTAGAGAGGCATACCTCTCATTGTATATTATTCAAATATACTAATGTAGGAAAGGTTACATCATCTTGTTTATGGTACATTTAATATCCCTTTCCCTCCTGACTTTCAAATAGTGTATGAAATACGTTAAATATTATGAAAATTATTTAAAAAATAGAACATATAAAATATTTTTGTGTTGTCCTTTTTTGTTAAGAGACAGCCTAGTTTGGCTTGAGTTTGTAACTGTTGAATGGGTAGGATATATCCCTCGTACTGTATCATCTGTCCCAGAGTTTAAAATATACCAGCTGCAAAAAGAGGATGAGAGCCATGAGAGGTGTGGTTCCACTTCTCCAACTGCAACAAGGAATAGAGCTGGTTGAAGACAACATTGCCCTCAATAAGGTCAGGCAGATTTAGCAGCCTTAATGGCCAATGAATGAAACAGTAAATAAATGTGCGCATGGGACATATCTAAAAGACACTGCCATGTTTTAAACCCCTACAGCTCTATAAACACATCTGTGCTACACCAGCACCCCTTTACACCAAGTTATATTTTCTGAAGCATTGCTGTTTTGATTCATGGTCTAGATTTTGCTCTTGCCTGGGTGTGCAGCTTTAAATAAGCAAATTACAGTATCTGGAAGGCTGCAGTTACATTGAGCATGACAAAAGAATTTCATCCACATAAGGTACTTACGTGACCAGTGCATGTCATAGTACTGGGTACTCTTCACAGAATACGAGAAACCTAATATAATAGGTACTGACGAGTTGAGAACTGAATTCTGTGTTTGAAATATTCTTTCACCTTTTAAAATTGTCGTGACGTTGAAAATATCCTTTGACAGAGGCGAGCTTCAAGTGGTTTGATAATTCAAATATGACATTTCATAACTGGGCAGACCAAGATGATGATGATGATCTAGTGGACACCTGTGGTTTTCTGCATACCAAGACGGGTGAATGGAAAAAAGGAAATTGTGAAGTTTCTACTGTAGAAGGAACACTTTGTAAAGCAGCTAGTAAGTATGGACTGAATGTCCTTCTCCATTCTATGAGGGTAAGAGAGAGTAAAGTAGGTTTTCAAACATTTTTTCTGTGGAGATTATTGTGCCTTATTAAAAAGAGAAAGACTTCAAAATTAGTGTGCTTTGCTCTCAAGTCTCTTGCAAAGCAATGTATAATTCTTTTACATCCAGAGGCTGGACCAATCATTTGAACTAGGTATCATTTAATTCTGTTTAAATGCCCAAGGCTTCAAAATTTGTTGTATTTCTCAAAAGAAATGTAACCTCATTGCATGCAATTTGAGAAGTGGTGAGGGTAATCATGTAGAATTTCAGAATTTCAATATTAATTTACATGGAATTAGATTCTTTATAAGAACCATCTTTGTTTATGCAAAAAGAAAAATACTGCAGTAAAAATTACATACTTCATATTATATTCTGAAATTTCAAACACATTTTTCTCTTGATCCATCTGAATATTTTAATAAACAAAATTATCTTATTCCATCCATCACCCATACACACACACATTTTTGTTTTGTTTTGAAATTTTGCTGTAATGGAAATTGAATTCAGTGCTGGAGGTTGCTGGAGAAGCACCCTGTAACTTAACTTCATCCTGAGCCTTTAAAAAAAATTTTTTAAGATAGCGTCTAAGTTTCCCAGGACGTTTCCCAGCGTCTAAGTTTCCATAGGACTTGCAGTCCTATGTCAGTGTCCCATGTAGCTGGAATTGAGGTGTATACCATCATGTCTGTCTTCCTCAATATTTTTATATTGTGTGTTAATCACTGAGTAAAGTTTGTTGTTCAATTCTGAAGAGTAAATCTACTCAGTAAAAAAGCAATTTCAATTATGAATTTGGGATGCATGACATGTGACACACACCAATCCTTAGTATTCGAATTGTCCTTCAACTGTAAACCAAAATAATATATTTGGCTTTTTTTTTAATTTTTTTTTTTTATTGGTACTGGGGATTGAACTCACGACTGCCTGCTTACAAGGCAGGTGCTTATGCCGTTGAGCTAAGTCCCCAGCCCCTTTGATTTTTTTAAAAAAATATCTAAAACTGCACAAGTTTTTTATACTTGCCATCTCAGGGTCCATGACTATAACTGAATTTCACAGTGATGTAAACATTTGTCATAGTTTTACAGTAGTAGCAAACCAACTTCAAATATCTGACTTTAAAAAAATTAGTTCTTTTCATGTACTGTACTCCAGGGCACCATTACAGAATAGTAACTTCAAAAGATCAGAAACAATGAGCAAATCCACACTAAGGAGGTAAAGTCACAGTTGTTTTATCACATTTTCAGCATCTGGTTATCTAACTAGAATCCTCTTATTTTCCTTATCTAATTGTCTTTTTGTTGAGTTTCCTTATTTTTTACACCAGTCAAGTTTAATGCATTTTGCTAGGCCTTTATATTTGTCTTCAAAACTAAATTCAGTAGTAATAGGAATATTATGCCAATAAAGTGTTCATTTTTAATGGTTGTGTTCAAATGTCTTATAATAAGCATATTTAAAATTTAAATTTTTTTTTTTTGTATTTTAGTCCCATATGACAAGAAATACTTATCAGGTAAGTAGTATTGCACTTTTTTTTGTTTTGTTTTATTCTTGTCTATACTGCCTATTGTTAAAATCCTGGCATGCTAAAACTCTGATATAAACTCCTTTTTAAAATTATACAAAGTAGTACTTTTGTACAAATCTAGTCTATTTAGCATGACTTGACATTTTAAATATAACCACAGTTATGCATGAAATGAAGCTTTTTATACTATATTCTATTTCCTTGTCAAACTCCATTACCTGTTTTTGTGGATATAGCTCAGCATGTTTTGTTTAGAAGTTTTACCTCATAGTAAGTACAATTCATAAACCATAAGGGTTTATTAAATACGTTTTTAAAGATAGGTAATCAAAAAAATCAAAAAATCAAAAATGCTTGTGAGCATTATCCCACCATTATTTGAGCCATTTAAGTTTTTCAACCTTATAGTGTATCTTTTTTGTTGTTGTTGTTGATGCTGGAGATATATGACTTACTGGGCCCCTTTAATTCACTAATATAGTTTAGTACCCTCTCCACATCATTTCTTACATGTATATCTGTATTTCTTTTTTACAACTCCATGCTCATCCACTGTATTTAGATTAATATATATATTTAACACACACACAGAGCTGCAAACTCCACTATTGTGGAGATGTAAAAATGGTGGTCACTGTGGCAACTCTTCAATTAAAAATTGAATTACCATATGACCTAGCAACTCATCTGCATGTATTCCAAAAAAATTGAAAGCAAGGACTCAAAACATGTTTCTAGCAGCATTATTTCCAATGCCCAAAAAGTGGAAGCAACCTAAGTATCTAACAGATGAATAAATGTTATTTATACAAATGATTGATTGTTATTTGGCCTAAGAAGGGAAAGAGATTCTGACCTAGGATCTCTAACATGGAGGATGTTAGGTTGTCAGTCATAAATAGACAACTGTGTGATTATACTTAGGATTTTACTTAGAGGTACCGGGTCACATATAGATAAAAACTACAGCAATGGTGGTGAACCTTTTAGAGCTCTCAGTAATAAACAGGCTGCTGTGGCATGTGTGCCATAGGTTTTGAACTAGAATGTTTGTAAGACATGGGCAAGGGAGTTAATTGGTAATTTCAATTTTATGAATGGTGGCGATATACCTAGCTTATTAATGTGCTTAATGCTATTGTAGTTAGATGTATTTCAGTTAAATATTTAAACAAATCAAGAAAAGCAGCATAACCATGTTATTTCAAGATGTGACAACAGAATAGTTACCTCTGAGGAATGAATATTGAGGATTTTAGTAGTAAGGCAGGGGTTCAGTAAAGTTTTCATTAAGTACCTTTCTGAACTACTTTCACTATACACACATACACTTTGGGAAAAATATTGTCAGGAATAGTTGGAAAGACTTGGCAGTGTTTGAAAGGTCTTTAGATTACAGGGGTATTTTAATCTTTAAATTCAGTAAAATATATATGTGAATCTGTATTACCTACAGATGGATGCATAATTCAGTAAATACTAGATGCTTGGCTTTCTTAAGTCACACATCCGAGACAACAATGAACAGAAGAACTTGCTTTCAGGCTTAATTCTAGTAGAAAGGATGAAACGATAAAAAAGTGTCAGATGATGATATATACACTATAGGTGAAAAAGGCAGAAGGATGAAGTAGGGAGAAGACAGGCTGTTTTTTAAGTAGGGTACTAAAGCAAGGCTCAATAAGGTCATATTTGAAAAGAAAGAAAGTGAACGCTTTCTATACAGATAAGCATTAGGTTTTAGTCTGACTTTTAATATGTAACAGTAGGGCAAATAAGTTGAAACAGATATTGGCAGCAATCTTGCAAACTGGGAGGTTTCCATTCATATACCCTGAAGAGTATTAGAAGGGAGGGATATACTAGGATGCAGAGCGTGAGCATAAAGAAAGGGGGAGTTAGCCAAGCAAGGTATACTGAAAGTTACTGGACACGATCCAGAATTAAATCATGAAGGTAACTATAGTAGGCATTAGAAAGTGAGAAAAGAAAGGCTATCCAAGTGTATGTATCAACATTAACAAAGATAGGTTTGGCTTTTTAGCATCACTTAATTGAATGCATTTGGGCAAGTTAAACCAGTCTGAAACATGCATAGTTAGCACTCAATAAATTATTTGTGGTTAGTTCAAGGCTTTAAAATGGATTATGTACTCTGGCCCTCACATGGTCACTGTTAGGCACTGACTATACATGTAATTATCTAGATTTATATAAAAGACTTGAATAGTTGAAGTCAACCATACAGAGTATAAGTGATATTAAGAGTGTTATGCAATATGAAAAATAAAGGGAAAAAAGAAAAGTGTCAGGGAAGTCAAGTGGGAAAAAGTCCAAAGTGGTATGACTAGCAGTCTAGATACCTCAGCTTGACTTGAGGTGTCCAGGTGTTTATGCCTCACTATATAAAGGTAACTGGTGATTCTTGCCACAGCGGTCAGAAGGTTGTGAGAATGGGTTACACAAGTTTGAGAAATTACAGTAAAGGGAAAGGTTATGTTTGTAGTAAGTTTCCTCAAGTTTCTTTTATTAGGCTAAGGATGATTTTTCCACTTCCTGGCTACATTTTAAAAATGGGAATGTTAGATAATAGCAATTATGTGCTCAGTCAAGGAAGCAACAGGTTTTTCTTTTGCATTTGTGTGGCAGATTTAATGCAGAACTACCCTTTCCTTCAGATACATACTGCATATCTTAATTATACTGCCAATGAATTGTCCTGCAATGGACTTGGTCCATATTTTAGTAATAAGTAGCTAGCCAACAAAAGGCTTGGTAGCAACCTGGCCACTGATCACTTGCAGACTGCATAAATACGGGCTGTCCTACTGCAGTCAGTAGGATAACGGGCCTTTTAATTGTTGTAACTGTGACTGTAAGTCCATAAATCATTCTAATTTATGTTTTTTGGGTTATATTTACTTTTTGTCTGTATTTCTGTGGCCATGCAATCAATAATGATTATATGTTATGATACAGTCATTAACAGACTGAAATAACAATATGTCCACATGAAAAAAGTTTGGGTTCTATATTGAAAATACACAGTATTGCTAAAATGAATGCAAAATGCAACACACTGTAGCTCTCGGCATTTTAACACTAACAAATAAAAATCATGACAGTACTAAATGTTTAATTTTGTTCTCATCTATGATAAACTCTCAAACTGATATATGAAATTATACTTGTACAGTTTCATTTCCCATATATTCTTCTGTGTTTTTCCTTTTCAGATAATCACATTTTAATAGCAACTTTGGTAGTTGCTAGTACAGTAATTTTGACAGTTTTGGGAGCAATCATTTGGTTCTCCTACAAAAGACATTCTGATTCTGGTTTCACTACGATTTTTTCAACTGTATCCCAATCCTCTTTTAACGATGACTGTGTTTTGGTCGGTGGAGAAGAAAATGAACTTGCTGTTCAATTTGACTAAATTTTTTAATTTTATTTTTGCTAAATTTTTGGTAATCACAGACTAAGAGAGGACTGATTCCTGTCCAAGATTTTAATATAAATGACATTAAAAATTATAGCTTTTATGGTACTTCTTATATTAGCAGCAATATTTTCATGAAGTCATTAACAAAAGTCACGTGTTTTGGTTGCCAACACATTCCCACCAGCTTGAACTGCTGGTGGTTCAAGCCACCTCATAGAGACATATACAAATATGGCCCTATTGTGAATGTGTTAAAGCAGGTTTTGGAAAAGGAAAAATCTTGTATCTAAAAGGGTTTTAAACACCATTTCTAAGAAACTTTCACTCAAAAGGAAAGCCTTAAGTCCAAGAAGCTAATAAAAGTAAAAATCCAGCCTACTTGTCTTAACCTGCTCTATTTTGCTTTCCATCTAGTTGAACCAATTTAGTTCACACTTCTTTACTGAAAAACGTGATATGGTAAAGAAGTCTGACTTTTAAACAGATTCTATATATTTAAATAACCTGATACTGTGTACTTTGGTTGTTAAGTCCTCTACTATTTGTATTTTCTTTTATCATTTAGATGTAAGTTATATAGATTTTAACACTGTATACTCTACATAATTTTATAATTCCATTATTTTAGAAACATTAAACAAATAGAATTTAGCACTAATCATAAATAACTAAAATGTAAAAAAAGAAAATCTATGAAACAAAAGATTAGAGATGTGTCCATCTAGAAAGAAGGATTTCATTTTATAAGTATAGAGGACTGTGTCAAGCTAAATCTTAATTTCTTTTATGTCCAAACATCTATTTCAGGTCTTTGTAGTCTATTTTTTGGTCAAGAGGTAATTTAATAACTGAATCTTGTGTTTTTTGCTATTAACACAAGCTTATTTACTATATCCAGAATATGGAAATCATTTCTTCATTGTCTTTGTTTCAGCTAACAATTATATAAGGTACAGAGGATCAAATTCAAGAGACATGTACATGCTAGACATTCAAAGCATCCTTAAGGACTCAGAATATATCAAAACTGGCATCCTTAAATTTCATTTTTGCTTAAGTAAGGCAACATAAAGGTACCACGCAAGAGCTGAACAGATGTTTTAGGAAACATGTATATTGGTCTAAGAAATGGGATTTGACACTTTCATAAAAATTTTGGCTATAATGTTTGAAGTCTTTGTGCACCAGTTGAAAAGGAAGCAGTTCAAACTATGAAATAAATCAATGAGTATGTACTTTATTTCCAGCCAAGATTTTACAGAAGACCAACAAATTAAGTGGGGACAAACTGTTCATTCACATTTGATAAATTACATGGTTTTGATTTAGGTTTTGAGAAAGTAGTTTGCTGCTGAAACATTAGATTTTAACCTGAAACTACTTTGAGGTGTTTTTAAGTGTATCCTAGTAGTGTCCACAGGAAAAAATACAATGTTATGGAATACACAACTAATGACCACAGAGTGCAGAATCAGTCTGAATAGGTAATTTCAGTCTGTTTTCCCCAGGTAGTGAAAAATATTAATCATCATCAAATAAATTTTCAGAATTATTGGGTAACAGTTAAAAATGACCAGGACCCAAACAGGTACTTATATTTATCTATAAAGTAGTGACAACACTAAAAAACACATTGAAAACCAGTGTTTTAAACTTTGAATATGGGATTTTAAAAGATTCCATTAACTTGCAATTGCAGTAATATTTTTAACCAAATAGCATTTGACTGGCAATTCTGATACAATTTATAGTTGTACTATTCCTGAAGGAATAGTTACATACTATAGCCTATCAAATATAATCTGCATTTTGAAAAATCAATACAAAATTTTTTCCATCATTGCTAAATATTTTATACTATTTTAAAATTAGGCTTTATTGCTAAATGAATTGGAACTCAAATTAAGTTTGGAAACCTAATATAATGAATGATCTTCCCATTCTTTGTAAGTTTTTTTTAGAAACACTGGAAATAAATGATTATTAAAATATGACTGCAATATAAGGCATTGTAGAAGACAAACTAATTAGGTGCCATTTGGCAGTTTGTTTCAAAAGCGTATTTTGTCCCCCTTTCCTCACTAGCAAGAAACTAGAACACAAATCTGTTTTTCATAAATATGACTACAGTAATCAGAACACAAAAAAGGGTTGATAGGCATTGCTTAAAACAAGGGTAAGACTTTCCCACTCACCTACAAGAAAAATATTTTTACCAGTTTATAAACATCAAATGTGCTGGTCACTATTAAAAGATCCAGCAGAAGAATTTTAATTCAGCAACACTTGAAAATGAATATATATGCACATGTATACATATATGTATATATATTCATTTTAGGTACAGTCAATAAATTTCATCGGCATTCCCCCACAAAATTAATCCATACTTAATTGCCAGTCTTAAACACTTGTTCTCAGATCATCCATTTGTCTTAAATGAAGTTATGCAATATCATATGTTCTGTTATGGTCTCCATCTTCTTCAGAATCATCCTCTGAAGCTGTTGAAAGAAAACAGAACAATCAACAATGATTTTGAGGGGGATGAGGGAGGGAGGTCTAACAGCAATGACTTGTAATAATAAAAATCTCAACTTAGTGTACTTTTCAGTCAAAACGATAAGTTATCATGACACAGTTAGAATGGTTTGATTATGGGTGATGCCCATCCACAACATGCCCACTGCCACCCCAAAATCTTTTCTGTGATGTTATAGTGTATATATAAAAATGAAAATGCTTTATAAATGTGGAAACATCTTCTAAAAGTTGTTTTTGAGATCAATTTGTGTTCATAGTAGTTAATGATATAAAACATTAGAGGAAAAGTGAATTTAAGGATATTCCTCTCACACACCTGCGTAGAATCTGGCTAATTACTGCTTCATGTTTGACGCACTCCATGAAGATGAAAAAAATCTACATAGAATAATAGGTTATGGGTGTTCTTCCAAGCTATGTCTATACAATGCCAAGAAACAGCCCTATTTAGTAAGTTAAAAAAAAGCTTTACATAGACACAGACTGAGTTAAAATACCTGGATTCAGTAACCAACTACAGTACTACTGAATTTATTCCCATATCTCCAAACTGTCAAAACTTAACACTTCTACATTTCTGATCTAAATTTATTCAAGAGTCATTAATGGCTCAAGATATAAAGTACAGCAACCTGGAATGTCTTTAAGAAGGGCACAGTAACAAAAAATTTGCCTTCTGCAAACTGTTTTACATGTGAAAAAAAGAAAGCTAAAAAAGATACTGACCAATATCTCTATTATCAAAAGCATAAAGTTGTAATGTACTCTTACTTCATTAATATTACACAGCTGAGAAATAACTGGTAGAGAACCAAGTTGGAGCAAATCGTAGGAAAGTATGCCACATTCATATATAAAATCCACTTCTACTAAAATGGTGTCAAGTATGTATGGTAGCTTACAACTGAGATAATCCTATGGTTACATTTTATATAATACAGAAATATCGAGCTAAATTACAACACTAGTTTTTAAAGAAACATAAAAGTTTCTATTTAATTCCATGTGAAAATGGAACACTTATGGGATTTATTTTTAGAACCCGCATCTTTCAGTTACATAAGTTTGGGTCTTTTACTTCCATCATTTCCTTCTCTATCACAGGTTGGAAAAAGACACTGTTACATTTTTAAAAACTATTATCTATATGACAGTGTTAGGTTTCTTAAGAGTGAAAAATGTGGGGAAAATACTATATATTAAAATCATTCACATCTGACAAACTATAATTTAAAAAAGTAAAATTATTGGCAAATACAAGGAATCGGAACCAAAAAAGGGAAAAAAAATTGCACTGAATTCTCACCGACTTTTGTATTTTCATATATAACAATTAAAAGTTGTGAAATGTGATGCCAGTTTTTCTCAAATCCTTAAAAAACAATCCATGCATTAAAGGAATTTTATGAAGATGAAGTTCTTTTTGACTTATTTTCAAAGGATGATAACCTATCTCTAAAGCTAAAAAATGTTATATGTACTACAGCTAACACACCCAAATTTTGAAGATGAGTATATCAAATCAATATCATACATTTAAAAAATGCTTCAAAGAGTGTAAACAGGAAGTCTGTTGTTTTGGGTGAAAAAATAGAGTAAGGAGAGGCTGGGTGGAATAATCTTGCATTCCCCAGGAGCTGTTCCACAGTCACTAATACTTGTGTGCCCACTTGGGATTAAGCACCATGGAGGTATAATAGAACTTTGAAAAGAAGGCAAACCATGCAAATAGCTGTTATAAAAAGTCGTAATGCTAGAATATGATCTTAAGAGATTAGAGTTACAACTAATTTAATAAAGGTTCACAAGAACCTCTGCAAGAAACAAAAATAAAAGCATGTGGTTTCTGTTATAGATTTAGAATCAGAACTATATTTTTCTGGAACCATGCGTAAGAACAAGTAAACTCTTTTTATGGTCTAACAAAGCAAAATAAGTAAGTTTCTTAAACAAAAAAATCACCCAAAACTAAAAGAGATATAGTTGATTAGTAAATCTGTGTTCATTTTTATTATACATGCTAAAAATCAAAGCAATCAAAAATAAGTTTTGACAAACATAAACACTAGTGGTTAAAATTCCATCCTTCAATACACCTTAAATACAATTTTTTAAAGTATGCTGTTAAAAATAGCATCAATTACCCAACTCATGTTTCCCAAATCAATCATTTTGTTACTATTAAGCCTATAAATGAAGCTCTATATATACTTAGATTTTGTTCTGTGGATTTAATTTCAAAAGAAAATTCAACAAGTGTGGGGAGGGGAAATTCCACCTACTTTCGAGATCTTCCATATGTGCCTGAAGAGTTCTTGCAAGGTTAATAAACTAGAAACAATGCAGAAAGAAATACAGTAGTTTAAATGTTGCAAATGGATCTAGAGAGAATCAGTATAGGAGATTCAATTCTACTTAAAAAGTCAAACATCATTTTAATTCTTTAAATATGGGTTCTCTCTCTCCCATATTAAAAATTACAACCTTAAGGGTATTATGTAATTATTATTAATTACATAGAAACCAGTTTCTTGAAATTGGGAGCAAATACAATAAAATAATTTATTCAATGGTATTGTATTTCTATATATCACTTCAAAAAACTTATAAAGGGAAAAAACAAACAAGACAAAAAAACCTGAGCTTATTAGGGTCCAAATTAACTGAAATGTATCTGTCTAAATTTGAAAGAAAAATCCTCTCAATGACTTCTACTTATTATTAGCAATATTAATCTTTCTTTTTACAAAGGCATCAATTCAACAGACCTTATATGCTTTATGTGGCTTATACAGTCTCAAGCTAAGACATCTTTTTAGAAATCATTTTATAGCATTTGCTAAAGTTAGGAGCTCATGGTTTCTGAGGTAGTTAGAAGTGAAGACATCTTTGCTTAACTTCAATACTTTCAATAGTTTATTCTTTTTACTCTCAATGATAATCTGTTAATTGGTTTATTTCTGTAAACTCCTCTTAATGATAAAATTTAGTAAAGTATTTTATTAACTTATAAGCATTATTATACTCATTGATTGGGACTCTTAAAATTTTTCAAAATACAGAATAACTTAACATAAACTAGTTTTTATACTAAAGCAAACATTTATATAAAAATGGTTGAAGGATTTTTTACGAACACAAGACATGAAGTGTTCAGAATATTATAGTAAAGACACATAATGGGCAAGGTAGTAGTTTCTTTTGGTACAGTAAACAGTACTGTTTTCTAACAAACACCTAAAAAGTAGCTAACCTAAATTTTATATCGCTAATAGTGGTTGTTAGCAACAACTAGTCCAAGTTTGTAACACAGACTCAAGTACACTGGTAATCTTTTACAGGTTAACAACAAATAAAGTGAAATTAATTTCCTATACCCTTTTGCTTTTCGAGTTCAACTTCAGGTTTCTAAGTTATAATGCTGAAGATTTTGTTTTTTTAATTAAACATTTTCCTTTAATGTTTACATTTTGGTCACTGTTTTTCACTGAAATAAGTCACAGTTACTTTCAAGAGCGATAAAATTACTTCCTTCTCTAAACAGCTTTATGAGAAAATGCTGCTTCTTGTGGAAGGAAGATAGCATTTTCTATTAAATCTACAGTATCTTTGTTTTGAGACAGTCTCACTTTGTAGTACAGGTTGGCCTTGAACTCACTACGTATTCCAAGATGGCCTTGACCTCGTGATGATCCTCCTACCTCAGCCTCTCAAGTGCTGGGATGACAAGCATGCACTACATCCCCAGCATCTACAGTAACTTTATTTTTAAGAAACATTTAAAACTAAGAGCTCCCCAAAAGAAACAGTATGTGAACACATAAAACCATCTGCTTTCCAAGGCCAATACTTTCTGTATTACATCTTCCCTCCTCCCCTCTTAAATTATTACTTACTCGAACATGTGTGCTTGGTTCACTTGTATTTCCCATCATATCAGAAAAGCTTTGTTCACACAAGTGCAGTAACACAACTAGGTAGAGACCAGAGCTGATAAACTCATACTCAGCCTTCAACAGAGAAGCAAACAGGAAAAAAAGGAAAAGTGAAAAATGAAAAATTAGAATTATGATTGATAGTCACAGTTTACTGATAAGTCAGAGGAAGTGTATCCAGTTCTTAGTAAGGCATACAGTGCCATCGACTAAAAGAAGAAATAAAAAGCTGCGATTTACACTTTTCTAAAAATTTTTTAATGCCCTACGTCCAAATAGGTGTGAATATCCTCTAAATCCACGGAGTGTTCCTTTGTGTAATTGTTTACCTAAAGTTTAACTTTTAAGTCAATGTTTTGGTTTTCTAAAGTTCCTAACAGATTTAGCAGGTAATAGCCATATAGATCTTTAAAATTACCATTTCATTTATATTAATATTACTATAATACCTATTCTGATAGCTCAAGTGTTGGTGTTTTGACAGTTAGCTTAAATGCCAACACTACATACAGAAACAATACAGATAAAACTATAGTTCACTGTTAACATGGAAATTTTAATGGGTAAGAGTTCACTTGTTCAAAACTGTTCCATCTTTTTCTTCCTGGTATTGGGGATCAAACCAAGGACCTCAAATGTAGGCAAATACTCTACCACTAAGCTGTAGCCCAGCTCTGTTTTGTTGTTTTGAAGTCATTAATGTCACAAATATAGTGTTACTGCAAATCTAACCTGTATTGTAAGTTTTACAAAAAATAAAAAGGTAAATTGTGTATTCCTTTTATGTGATTAACTCATATAATGGTAATTATATGCCCTTAATATTAACTTTAATAAGTAATTGCAATCCAATTTTGAGAAAATATGAATTTTAGTTGGACCTCATGGTGTACAACTTTAGTTCCAGCATTCAGGAGGCTGAGGCAGTAAGATCATTACAAATTCAAGGCCAGCCTACAGTAGAGTGAAACCCTGAATACAGAAAACAAACCAAAAAGAGGAAATTTGCAGTTATTTCTTTAAATGTTTAATTATTTTTGATAACCTTTAACTTTAAAAGGAAATCATTACCAAGAAAAATTTTACAAATTTTAAATGGTTATCACTTGTAAAAGATAAAGCCATTGGAAAACAAGGAAATAAAACTATCAAGCTAATCTAGTTGTTAGCTAGATTCCACAATTCATATAGAACAAACAAAGCCAGGAAACTTGTACCATTGTCTTTACACTGACTTGACCTAATATTTCTTAACACTTGTGAATTATTTAAGATCAGGGTCATGAAAATGCAGCAAAAATCCTCCCTGAATGAAACAGATAATTTTAACAAACATCAAAGGAGGAAACAGAAACTTTTGTATTTTTCTGCATCATTGTATCTTTCCAAATACTCTTTTCCCCTACAACAATGCTCAGCGTTTTACACAAACACCTTAGGATTTAATCTATTTTGTTGCTGAAAATAATTTTCTTTTTGGACAACTGGTTCATTAGAGAATAAATTTATTTTATTGCTTTTAGAATAACAATTATACCAACTGCCTAATATTTTATCATCTACACATCAATGATTCTTAAACTTTGACCTAAATAATTTGTGCTTGTGTATTTTGCTAAAAGAGTATTTATAATTTCCACGTTATTTTAAAAGTAAAGGCAGTTTTAAACAGATTTTATATTGTATGATTTCATTTATATGAACTATTCCAAACAGGTAAATCCAAAAAACACAACACATACTAGTCACTAGTGGATGCCAGGGATTAAGAACAGAGAATAAGGCTGGGGATTTAGCTTAGTGGTGTAAGCGCCTGCCTGGCAAGCGTGAGGTTGTGAGTTCAATTCCAGACACAAAAAAAGAAAAGAGAATAAACATAACTACTGCCTAATGGCTACAGGATTTTCTTTTGGTATGAGGAAAATGTTTGGGATGAAAGAAATGGTGGTTGCATAACACTGTAGATGTATTAACACTAATGAATTGTTTACGTTAAAATGGTTCTGGTATATGAGTCATTTAATGCAAAAGTGGGTGGGTGTCCATTACTCCTTCATTAAAACTGTTTTTCAAACGTTGCCTACGTTTTCTAGCTATCACTTCTTCTTTCATAACAAATGGTAATACTTGGATAGTTTGATTCTAGAGTCACCCTTATTTCCTTAAACACATACCCTTTATTCCCAGACTTTTGTTAAGTAGGATAAAAATATAGAGCTCTTTATTCTATCATATTAAGCATCTCAAACACAATTCTGGGGAAATAACGTTGGCATGCCTACTTGGGGACCATTTTCCTAAATTTTTATTATTTCAGACATAAGAAGCATGATGAATTTTACCTTAGTTATTAAAAACCTGTAACACGGTCATCTGTCTTTCATTTAAAGAGAAAAGGTAAGGAAAATTATGAAATTATAAACACCTAATGCCAAGCAGAAAATTATGTTAAAAATATTTTATTGCTGGAATTCTGACCATGAATTCTTTTCTTCAAGAGCTGTCCTTTAAGCATAGAATAGACACTTACCAAATTAGGCAAAATATACTAACTTGTTCATTTGCATGAGCTCTATGTAGTTCATGAATATCAAAGTCCTCCAGGTTAAGTTGCAGCTTCTCTTTACAGAGTTCACAGGTGGTTACAGCCTCTAGTGAAGAACCTTGGAAAAAACCAAATAGCATATAAAAACTTATGAGGTCCTCATAAAATATTTTTTCTCATATAGTTTTAGGTTTAAGATGTAGAAAATCTTAAAAAGGCATGCTGGAAAGAAGGGAGATGAACACAGGAGATTATGCTACTGCAATAAATCAGTGACGTCTCCTAAAATAGTAATCTGTAATGCCGAATATGTATGTCAGGTCCTATGAAATTTTAGCCTCCACCCATAATTTAGATGTCTTTTCTCCCTCCCAGGTACTCACACATCCTTATAATTATAGGAAGCTGACAGACACAATAGAATGTCATCTGCATTTCCTGCTTCCTTCTGAAGTATCCTAACTTGGTGCCATAAAAACGTTTAATGAAGTACACCTCACACAACTAGTATTCTCAGGCTAGTATCTTTGATGTAATAGCATATACCTACTTTGTGGAGTCTAAGGAACATACCTCCCTGCTCCCTCGGAGAGGAATAAAAACAATCCACTTTTATCAGAAAAAAACAGTGGTTCTTCCAGGGCTAGGGACCTAGTTCAGTGGTAGAGTGCTTGCCTAGCACATTTGAGGGCAAGGGTTCAATCCCCAGCACAGAAAACATGCAACAGCGGCCTTTTTTAGCTATAAAAGAAATTAAGTCCCGATACATGCTAACAACATGGATGAACCTTAAAAAAATGATGATAAATGAAATAAGGCAAATGTGCAAAAGGATGAACATTTATGATTCTACTTATAGGACATATCTAGAATAGGCAAATTAAGAGGCAGAAAGTAGATCAGAAGTTACTATGAACAGAAGAGGAAGCAAGGGGTGAGAAGTTAATGGATACAATTTCTGTCTGGGGTGATGAAGTTTTAAAAATATACATGGGGGCAGACACAGGTGGACTGCTGCAAGTTCAAGGCCAGCGTGGGCCAGAGTGAGTTCAGGCCAGGTTGAACTACATAATGAGACCCTGTCTCAACATAACACAACACATGATAACTGCACAATGTTCTAAATGTACTAAGTGTTACTGAACTACATACTTTCATCGAAATGGCAAATTTTATTTTACATACATTTTACCCTAATTATCTGGTTTTTAAACAAGAGTAATCTTTGTTCCATATGTACCCCAAAATTGATTACAATAAACTTTGGGTTTCAATATAGTAGGTAGTGTCTAATTAATCAGGTAGCCTTCTCTCCCATTCTTGTCTATTTTTAGATGCTTTCCAAACCAAAAAAAAATGTCCAAAATTAGCAAAGAATAATAGGAAAGAGGCTTAAATTCAGTTCGACTCACATTTTTTGAGTGATTATTCTGTACCAAGCAAAAGAGGTTTTGGAGATTCAGAAATGACTAACAGTCCTTATCTTTCAGGAACACATAAAAACCTCATTAAATCAGTAAATTTAGCACAAAGTCCAATATGTTCCTAACATAGTAATTTGTGTGCATTTTCTAGAAAACAGCTGAAAAAAGTGTTAATATAAAGAAATATAGTATGGTATCTCCAAATAAGCTGTAGTCAAACTACATCAGTTTTTGCTATAATTTAAGCATTATTTACAGTGGTCCCATAAGAATATAAAAAGAGTCAGTGTGATGGCACAACCTGTAATCCCAACACTCCAGAAGCTGCGGTGGGAGGATCACGTCAAATTTGACGCTAGCCTGAGCAACTTAGTGAAATATTGTCTCAAATCAAAAAAGGCCCTGGGCTTAATCTGCAGTACTATCAAATATGTGCATCCTGTATGTGTTTGTGTGAATGATGGCTGAAAAATTCCTACTGACTAGTAGCAGAATTATCTGTAGTTAGATAGACTAAGATAGACAATGCACTGAGTTTGTGGAAATGCTGATGTAAGTAAAACTACTGCTAGTTATATAAAAGTAAATGCATACACTTATGTACACTCTATAAGGCTTGATGATAATTATGCTATTAGTTTATGAATTTACTGTGTCACTTTTACATCATACTCATAAAAAAAAAGTTCACTGTAAAAATGGTGATTGGTTTTCCACTGGCAGCGGCCTGATACATTGTTTACTGTGTCTTTTTACTGCAATGTTTTCTGTCCTATTTGATTTGACATTGTGTTTTATTCACTACAAAACTCAGAAAAATAGGCTGCACCACAGATACATACATACAAACACATATAATGTAGATGTGGAGGATAATTCTTTTTTTTTTTATTGGTACCGGGGATTGAACTCACGACTGTGCGCTTGCAAGGCAGGTGTTTATGCCGCTGAGTTAAAACCCCAGCCCCAAGGATAATTCTTAATTTGTGTATATGCACTCTATGATATTTGCACAAGGATAAAGTCACCTAACAGTGTATTTCTCAGAAACTATTTGTCATTAAGTGTATAGAACTTTTCAAACGTATGAACAAAATCAGGTGTTCATTTAAATAGCTTAACATTTCTGAAGCTTGTGAAAGGGTTTAATTTCTAAAAATATTTTACCACTGAGCTAATTTCTTAAGTCCATTTATGTCCTGATTAAGCATATGAGAAGGACATTTAAAAGGCTTTATCAAACATTTCATAATGTTTGATTTAGAAACATGAAGAGTATGATCATGAAATAAGGACCACTTAGGTGATTCTAATATAATTTCTTTTGTATCTTAGAACTTCGTTTTTCTCTTCTATGGACTAAAACTTTAAAAAGTGATTTTTAAAAGGCCATGCACAGCCAGGGACAACTTGATTTACTCCTACATTTCTTAAGCAGGGTTCTTTCCATTACATCCTATTTTATTCACAAAGCTCTGGCTGCATCTCCAAGTTGTACTAGACTTGTTTTATTGTATATCCTTGTTTTATGTGAGTTTAGTAATCCATGTATTGTAGCTACCTAATAAATGTTTAAATTAATCTACCAGAATGAATCTTCTACCAAATGGGGTCTTTTTGTGTAAGTATGAAAAAACTTTCACTATGTTGAAATCTGTATCTAAAAAAAAGGTATATATTATGCCCTTATAAACAACTCCATTTATCAATTATGAATCAGGTACTTAGTACAGTGTTAAAACTGTATCTGTTTGACAATCAGAGTAATTGCATGAGGTATACTGTTTCAAGCTTGATGGTACTGAAATCCAACCCCATTTGTAGGGGTGGATTTTTAAATATCTGCATTTTAAAAAAGGTCCACTGGATGAATGTGAATAGCAACTAGTTTAAGAACCAGTGTTAACAAGCCAGGCAAAGTGGCGCACACCGATAATTCCAGCAGAAAGACAACTGCATGTTCAAAGGCAGACAAGGCTACATAGTGAGTTTAAAGCTAGCCTGAACTACATAGAGAGGCTCTGTCTCAAAGAGGGGTGGTGGGGAGAACCAATGTTCTGAAACACATGCTCAAAGGACAGGCTCAGTGATCGAGTACTTGCCTAGCATGAAAAAGATGCACAAGGGCCTAAGTTCATTTCCTAACACCGTGAAACTAAACAGAAGCAAGTTCAAGACCCTATAGCTAGCTAAGTAAAGATAATCTAAAACTATCTAACTCTAGAAAGTCAATGATCTTAAAGAAACTGTATTAACCTTTCCCTTCCACATCAACATTAATAATCTAATTGCCAACGTGTCTGAAATTGAGTCAAGTTGTTCTTCATTTTGTTAGTAGTTAACATTGCTGGGCCCTTACTCAATGTCAAGAAGTAAGCTAAGCATTTTATGTGCAATCAATCTCTCACTTAATCCTAAAAACATTCCAGTGCAGTAACTAATAAAGCCTGTGAGGTTACTAATAGAAGCAATAGCCAAAAGAATAAGAGATCCAAGTCAAGTCAAAATCCAAGCACCTGAGAGGCTCCGACTAGCTTAATAAAGGATACTACTTCTACCCCTCAATTCTCCAATGCAGCTTTTGTTGACCTACTATCAACCACATCACAAGAGTTGCAGGGAAAGTTTCACAGTCACTTTACTCTCCAGTTTGAGCAAGTTAACTAATTCCTCCAACAAATTATGAAAATTAAAATTAGTTGCATCACATCTTGCAACATATTTGCCTGGGTCACCTCAGTATACTCAACAAACTTTTATTCTCACACATTATATACATTTATTAATCTTAGCTAATTTCCCAGATTTAACACCCTACTAGTGACTTCTACTATGTCCTCTGGGACTCAACTTACTAACATTAGTAAATTCCTTTGTTGATATATGCCTACAACCCAGCACTCTGGGAGACTAAAAGGATTCCATTTCGAGCCCAATTTGACTCAGGAAGACCCCCTCTTACTATTTAAAAAAAAAAGGAAGACCATAGCGGGTGATCTTGAGAGGAGCACGTCCCTGAGCAGGTTGCTGAGTGGCCTGGCCCAGGATGCTTTCCATGGGCACCCAGGCATCACTGAGGAACTGCTGTGGAGCTAGCCTTATCCAGAGGTGTTGCCTGAGGAGTTTCGCCCATTTCTGGCGAAAATGAAGGAGATTCTTAAGGCAATCTAAGATATTTTGCTTAAAATCATTCTTTAAGATGGTGGAATTTAGGCAACTTATTCATCTGCCCTCTTGGTAAGCACCCCTGGCATAGGCTAGGAAGAGAACCAGTGCTCCTGAGATCTGGCCATGGTGGGACTTAGGCAGCTTACTCGCCCGCCCTCTTGTAAGCACCCCTGGTGCGGGCCAGGAGGTGAACCAGCTGCTCCGGTGGATCTACCAGCACATGGGCTGAGAATCAAACACCCTCCCTCCCCCCATAGCAACTGGAGATAGATCTCTTGGGAGGATGACCATATGCAATATAGCAAATATGGGGGATTTCCTTCTATCTTCTGAAGACCAAAGTTGTTTTCACTGTTTTTTTATGTTTGTTTTGCTCTATTCCATACTTTCTTTGCATTGTTTTTATAATGTTCTGCTTTTGGTTTGATTTTGCTATATCTAATTGACTGGACAACCGTTGCGAAGATAACGAGATATACTATAGTACCTATTACTACTATCCCAGTATCCTGCTGAGAAGTTCTGTACTAATTTCACTGTATTGTTTCAATTGGCTTTGTTCTGTTATATTTTTAGTACCTTCAAAATAAAATTAAAAAAAAAAAGATGTAGCTCAGTGTGAAGAACCTGGGCTCAATTCCCAGTATGGAAAAAAACAAACCAAACAAAACAACAACAAAAAAACACAGCCACTTTTTTTATGTGCTTTTTACATTCTTTTTGAACCACAGTGCTTTCCTGACACATAGTTCTACAGTTATTTTTTTCCACACAGCTTTCTGTATGTCATAATGAAGAAGTGAGGGGCTCAGTGGCATAGGGCCTGTCTGGCAAGTGTAAGGTCCTGAGTTCGATTCCTAGTTCAAAAAGAAAGAAAGAAAAAAATAATGAAGTGAGAACACATCTCCTCCACTGATGATTATAAACCTTAAGTATGCTAACATAAATTAGTAACTTTAGCAACTGGCTTGTTCCCTTAATTCTTATTTCAACATCCACACTGAGCATTCACTTTGGATTCAACATCCTTACTTCCATTATCCCTTCCCCATTTTGCATACCCTTAACTACACTACACCATTCCTAGCATGTTATCTTGTGCATCTACAATGTATCATCCCAGTATACCTACTTTTACAACTCTCTTCAATGTCAGTGAGACTCAAAAGAAATTAACTCTACCAATTTTTCCCTATCCACTCCAAGTCCTTACTTTTTCATTTCCACAATCACTACAATTATATCCTAAAAGATACTCTTGATTTCCTTCCTTATATTTATCCACCAAAGGTCCTAAGACAAATTAATTAAATCCAACCCATGTCTGTATCTAAGAACCTGCAAACTTTTTTCAAAAAACTTACATTAAAAATGTAAATCCGGGGCTGGAGATTTAGCTCAGCGGCATAAGCACCTGCCTTATAAGCAGGCATTGTGAGTTTTCGATCCCTGGTACCGATAAAAAGGAAAAAGACAAAAAAAAAAAAAAAAAAAAAAAGTAAATCCCTGCCAGTCAGAAGTAGTGGGCATGTCTGTAATCCCAGTGACTTGGGAGGCCTGGGCAGCTTATTGAGACTTAGTCTCAAAAAATAAAAAGTCCTGGGAAAATAGCCCAGTACAAAGGCCTTGGGGTCAGTCCTCATTTACACACACACACACACACACACACACACACACACACACAGAGATGCCTGTTCAAGTTCCAGGAACACTGTCCAAAGGCATTACTACAGTTTTCATGTAAGCAAGAGTATAGTTACTTTAATATTCCCATATCTTCTGACTTTCCTGTAGTAAGCATGTATTGTCAACTGCCATAGAAATACCCAATGCAATGTATACATGCATGGAAAGATGGCGTTTTTATCCCAGAAATCTGTAAAATTATTAATTTTTAAAAATGCAAAAATAAAATTGTTTTGAAAACAAAATTTTAAAAATGTGTCTCACTTTAAATGTTTTCCTTATCTTTCCTCCCTTGTTTTCCACCTCACCTCCCTCTCCTTCCTGTGCCAGGGCCTTGCACATGGCTAGGCAAGCACTCTGCTACTGAGCTGCATTCCCAGCCCTAAGATCATTTTTTAATCAACATCTTGAAATCCTGTTATATCCTTAGAATGTTACTTCCTAACTTGTCCCCAGTCAGCTAATGAACATATGTCTCTAAGAAAATTGAAGCATTTACATAGGAAGTCATACATCATCCCATCAAAGCAACAAACTGATCAACCTGTATTCATCTATAGTAGCTTTATATAAATAAGATACCTTTCTCCTGTTGAAGAGTACTCATTCAACTTGTGCACTGGATCCCATCTTTTTCTTCTTTTTACAGATTATTTTTCTCTCCTATGCATTCCCCCAAAATCTAGCTCAAAATAAAACACTTTTTGTGACCTCACCTAATTCTCAAATTCATGTCTCAAATGTCCAATCTCCTTGACAGTGGTACAATGAATGGTTTAAATTGCTGTGTCACCAAATTTTGTTTTCTTAATCCAGTATAAGTAGTCTTATGAATCCACCACTCCACAGAGAATGTAGTCACTTAAGACATGTCATCAAATTAAACTTTTATTTTATTATCCTTAGTTTATTTGACTCCTTAGCAATAAAGGATTGATAATACTCAGATCTTTTTTTGGATTTCACAATAATGGTTTCTTCCTACCGACTACATGCTGCTCATCAAATCCATTTTTACTGGTCTCACTAAATGCTTGGATGTCTCAGGGTTTTGTTTTGGGCCCAGTTTTTTTGATATCTGCTTTCTTCAGATGATCTTATTTACTTATCATGTTTCAAATGTTACTAAAATTAACTTCTGAGTATTTCTCCTGAAATGTCAGGCTTGTCAAGTTCCTACTTGACATTTTCATAAGATATCTAAAAAGGTCAGAGTATGTCCACAATATGTAAAACTCTTGGTTTCCTATCACAAAAATTGTTCCACTTTTGGGTTCCTTATTTCAGTAAAAGGCACCACCATTTACTTAGTTTGCTCAAGACAAAAATAGGATCTTCTCCATCTATTATTTGCCTCTTATTCTACTACATTCAATCCATTAACAAGTCTAAGTGAATCTACCTCCAATATATATTGAAGTCTATTCCAATCATCACCATTACTAACTACCACCACATGCTACCTAGGCATTGCAAACTCTTAACAAATACAACTATAACGGAGTCCTGGTTGGTCTCCCTGCTTCCACTCCCTAACCACCCCCTCCGCATCCATTCTCCATAGAGCAGTAAAATACAAATGATTCTGTTTCCCTCCTTTTCAGTGGTTTTCCATCATAGTTAAGATATAAATCTAAGCTTTGGTCTCACCTTTGAAACAATTCTATGAACTAGCCTTGCTAATCTCATCTCAGCTATATCACCCTTTCTTCCATCCACTTATAGGACAGGTCTTATAGACACATAATATCTCATTTAGTTTTCAAAACACTTAAATCATTCCTACCTTAAAGTCTTTATATTAGCCATTTTCTCTGCTAATATGCTCTTCTCATTTTAAAATAGCTGGTTCTTTCCTAATTCAGTTTTCTGTTTAAATGTCCTCATTTAAATGACTGGGGATTTAGTTAGTAGTAAAACACATGCCTAGCATGTGCAAGGCCCTAGCTTCAATCCCTAGCATCACTAAATAAATAAATAACCAACCCAGCTCATCTAAAAACAGCATTCTTTTAGCAGCCAATACCACTACCATAAGAGCAGATGCATTGTCCATCTTGTTTACTGTGCTATACCCTGGATCTAGAATTGTGGCTGGCTCCACAGTAGGTACTCAATGAACAAATGAATTCCTACAATAGACTTCTCATCCTAATTTGGTTAAGTGACACAACAACACAAGAGACAATAATCTTCCTTAAGGATATACAGCTGGTAAATGTTGAGTGCATTTCTATGACTTTTAAAGGTAGTTTGCTGGGTCGCAAAATTATTATTAACATTTATAAAGAGACTAACAATCTTTAGTTTTTGCTGAGCCTTCAAAATACTTTTAAAATAAAAGTCTAAAGTCAGCAATCAATAAATTATAACAAATTTGTTAACCAAAACACATACATACGTGCATCTTTGGAAACAAAATACACAAAGGGTAAATCTTACCAGAGTTAATTTTGGCCTGTAACCACTTTTTCATACACTCTTGGTGGACATACTGTAAACTTCCTGTGCACTTGCATGGTTCTATCAGCAAATTAGATGATGATGCAGCTGCCATCTGACAAATTCTACATAAATCACCTTCTTCTTCCTCAGAGTCCTCTAAAAGGAGGCTGGAAGAGAAGGTACATTTTCTGAACATGCTGTCACAATTCATCTTAGTTTCTCATTTCCAGATCTCTAACAATCCAACTATCTTTGTCTACTTAAACTGAGTAGAAAAATGCAAATGCTTAAGAACAAAACAGTAAAAGTAAAAAGTAACCAACATGAAAGACCAATTCATTGAGAATAAAAATTTTAAGAATTTTAAAATAAGATGAAACTGGCTACCCTACCATGTACCTTCATATGATTTAAGTAATTTTGTCTCTAGTAGCAGTTTCAATTCCTTACTTTAATAATATAAGATTGGAAAACTCACAAACTCTTGACCAAATATCAAAAATTTTGCTTTGAAACTAAACAAATTAGAACTGGCTTAATCTGTATCTCTTTCAGAAGATTGCTATCAGAGGAAGTTGTTATAATAAGCAAACATTAAAATTGACACTACCAAGGTAAATTTTTGTAAGGAAGGAAAATAATACATTTAAAAGCAGAAAAAGTCACACAATAAAATCTTTCATATATAGAAGGAAAAGTACAGTACAATAAGTCAGTATCTCAGAAAATGTGTAAAAACTTCATTCATGACCAGAGACCTGGATCTGAACCTATTTTCTTTTTAAAAGTACAAAAAGAACTAAAATGGTAACTATGCTTCCCCAACAATTGCATTAACATTATTAAGCCTTTGTGAAAACGTCTCCCCACCCTGGAGTGTTTCCTTCTTGTATTTAATTTATACGCTGTTTTATATAAAAATTACTATAATACTTAGAACTAGACTAAGATGACAAAATCAATAGCCAAGTTGTGACTTTTGGTTTTTCACCTTTTTCTTGTATCTTTTCACTCCTGCCATTGATATCTACAAGGTACAGCCGTGTAAAATATTTCTGTATAGAAATATCCTGAATATGAAATAGTTTTGTCCCTAAATTCTAATACTTATGGAATATTCAGTACACATTCAGTATACCTTCAGACTTCAAAAACAATACAAATTGCCTTTTGAATCTTATTTTACGTCATTCCATAAAAACACCTAAGGTGTGAAACACAACTAAGTGGCAAACAAACCAATTTAAAAACTAATATACAGGAATCCATGGTCACTTGTTTTCCATTTAGCAGCAATCTAAGCAAGGAAGAGGGGAAAAGATTAAGATTTTCCTCTGTGTGTCTACATATCTAAAGTTGGTCAAGCTATGTCTTGACACAATTCACACTGCCAGGGTCTACCTCTTTATTAATTCTTATCCATCTATAGATGAGACAATACTTCATCAGGATATAAACTGTATGGAAAAAATTTCAGGTATAAATTTTATGAAAAGCCATTGTAGAAATACATTCTGTAATTTGTTCTAACACTACAAGCAGAGGAATATTCAAATGTACCTCTCTTTTATTTTCTGCAGTCTTTCTGGATCTCTTGAAGGTGTACTTTTGGTTTTATCAGTTTTTCCATCAGACGAATTCCAACCTGAAGGAATGATATCTACAGTGATCATGACATTGTCAGTCAAATTATTTCCAAGGGCCTGAGGGACTGCAAATCGGAATAAGGAAGCAGGAAAAATTCCTGTTATCCCTGTATTTCTTCCACTTTGAGTTGAATCTGATGTGGCACCACCAGCAGAGGCACTGTTTGATGCTCTTGATGCTTGTGTTCTGTTGGCAGCAGCCCCCAGAGGATCACTCTGTGCTTCAAGGTGAACAACTTCATTTGATTCTCTTCTAAAAATATGAGATCTAGATGGTCCCTCGGAGGTAGTTATCCTTGAAGATTCATCTCTTCCCTCTCTTCTCCTTCTAGAGAACAAAGGTGTACATCTATTTCTAAGTGAGGAAGATAACCATGGGCCCGTATTCCTACCTTCAGATTCACGACTAAAAGTTTCTGAATCTGGCTCAGAGCTATGATTTTGGCTAGATGACAAACCCCATCTTCGCCTAAGAAATCGAAATCCCTGAGAAGCTTCAGATGCCCTATTATAGTTAACTTCAGAAGTTGCTGCATTACCCCGAGACTGTGATGTCAACATTCCTGGAGAAGAGTAAGAGTTTTCAGAACTCACTGATCTTGCATTCAAGGAATCCTGACTAGATCTTCGTGAAAAAAAAGTAGATGACATGCTAGAAGCTATACGTGACAGCAATCTTCTTGTTGTACGCCTACCTTCATTGTCAGAAGATTCTTGAAATGATCTTCGAGAAGAACCAATCCTTTCTGAATTGCTTACAGTTGGGGTTTCATCTCTACTTGAAAAATAAGCAAATCCAGGGTGTGTACTGCTTCGGAGAGATTCTGATTCTCTTGAAGAAAAACTTGACCTTAAAGAATTTCTACTGGAGTCCCTATAACTTGGTACTGTCTGATGTTCAGAAGGCAATTGGTGGTTTGTGGATGTATTCAACTGTAAAGTGCTCACTGAGTTCTCTTTTGGTCTTGCTCCCTGTGAATATGAAGGAACTCTGTCTTGAACATCTATTTTTGAAAGGAAGGAAAGGTAACCAATTATATGAAATAATGAGCACTAATAAATTTTCATTTATTAATTACTTATAACTAAATTTATTTATTATTATTTATTAATTACTTATAACTAAAATGAAACACTAGGTTCAAGCTGAATATTGCTGCCTTAAGAAGAGTTCAATTATTATTATAGAAAAACATAATAATAAAGATAAAAAAATAATAAACATATTATTATAGAAAAAACAATGTATTTATTCCTGTTTATGAGATTCAGGTATGGAAAGTTATTATTACAAGAGTTAATATTACAAATTCAAAAGAAAGAATATTAAGAGCTTATAAAAAGCAAATAGTTGAAGATAAATTGAATTTACTAATCAGAAACTGACATAGATTATCTAAGTATCTAACCTTGACACAAAATTATAAATAGGCCAATTAATACAATGCACATGACTCATAATAATTAATTGCACAATCACCGTACGGAAATTGAGTTTTGGAGATTCTTCTTACTCTATGCTATAGGTAAAAAAGTTACTGTATTTGTAAATATTATTAATTAATACCCTTGCAATTAATAGCTAAGAATTTTTATAATCTTTTGTCTTTTAAGGTAACAACAGTAGTTCTTGACCTATTTTATCATCAGATACAGCTTTCTTTATTTAACCTTGACTAAGAATTTTGAGGTGCAAAAAAAAAAAAAAAACCCCAAAAAACAAAAAACATTTTAGGCAGTGTAGGACTCTGGTATCTACATTTCAAAAAACCGGAAGGTAAACTGGAGGTTTGATCTTTCAATGGGGTGAAAAACACTGTAGGATTCCTTTTGTGAAGACGACTGTCCTTTGCATTCGCTTCTCTTTTATTGTGAACTTTGTTTAGTATATTTTCTCTTGAAGTTAGTATGACTGCGGATTTGTGAAATACTTAAGTCTTTGTACAGTGATAAAAAGACACTGGTCCTATACCAATTTAAGAAGAAACTGTGGTCTTTTTTGTATCAATTTAATGAAACTAAAGGGACACTCATATTAAAGTAATTCGAAATTGTGCCTTAAAAATGGTCATTTCTACAGTTAGTTATTTTAGAATTTAACCAAAAGTATTCATTAAACTGTGTATGACATATATATATTAATATTTGAGAATATTCTTATCTAGTGTGTTACTCTGTACCATATACATTCCTAAGTGGAAAAATTCAAGCAAGAAATTTAAAAGGCAGGTAAAGTCTGAATAAAAATACCATATCTGCTTCATTTTTTAAAGTAAAACAATAGTTACTAGAAAACACACTATTCATAAGATTCATTTCATTTATTCCTATATAATATGAATGAGAAAAATGTAACATTAGATAAACTATAATTAACTGTAGTTGATACATACATGATGAAGTTGTGAAATCACCGCTTCGGTGACTATAATCCATAAGATTACTAATGGAGGAATCTCTTCTCCTCTCCAAATCTCTCCTCTCTCTCATTAAGTCTGTTCCAAATGAACTAAGTACCATTGATGAAGATCTGGGAACTTGACTATGCCTCCATGAAGAATCTTAAAATAAATGAAGTTTTACTTCAGAGAAAGCTTTTAAGATTTCTGGTAACAGTTAATCTTCAGTAATACAAAGGAAGGTTACTATTATTTATTACAGAAATCCTCAGTTACATAGTTGTAATCAGAAACAAAATTTAAAAGTATTCAGAAGTGAACTAATCACATAGTATTTTCCTACACAACAACATCAATATCATCTCATTATCATTATTATCCTCATCATCATCATTGTTGGAGCTGAGGATTGAACCCAAGGCCTAGAATGTGCATCCTAAACAATAAACACATTTGTAACACTAAAATCTATACCCATATATGCTTTCACCATTTCATGTCACTCTCCATAACATGTAACAATGTCACCGTAAAGTAAAATGATTGTAGATGAAAAATGCCAAGTTTTTCTATAATGCAGAATTTCACAAAATCAGTGAAAGTTATGATAAAAAACACTGCCAAAATCAAAATCAGAGCTGTCTTGATAAAGAAGCTTAACTGTAGGTTACAACTGTATCTGATTTTGTAACAAAAGTATTTTTCTTGGTGGAAATTAAGCCCAAGACCTGTGCATGTGAAATATTTTTACAGCTACCATATCTGGCTCATTCTTTTTATCAAAGAGTTATCCCATTCTGATCTAAAATTTTTTAGTTATTTAAGAATAAATTTAAAAAATTAAGTCTAAAGCCTATTGTCCCCTAGTTAACTTGGAAACTTGGTTCTTCCTTCCTAACCTCAGCAATTCCTCTCTGACTAAAGCAAATGGCCCACTGTATTGAATGCTATGCCTTCGCATAGTAGAACAGAATGAAAAAACAGTGGCTTTGGTCTACAAAGTTAAGGCTTGTCTTTTCTTACTCATCACACTATTCAAGTAACTTTCAGATGGGCAGGTCTTTCCCCATTGCAATCCTGCCTATCAAATAGCAGAACCACTTATACTAATTCAACTGGTAATATATAACCATTTTAAAAATTTTATTTCGAAACTGCACTATCACAAATTTTTCCTCCCTTTGTAAAAATTTCAGTTGCTGGCTAAAATTTCACTTAAAGATGAATGTAGATAAGGAAGAAATTTCTTGACAAAAAATCTTAATTTGTGCAACAAATACATTATGTGCCTCTGAGCACAAAACATCAAGAAAGAAAAAAAAAAAATCAAGAAAGAAGCATTATGGATAAATCATTTAAATCCTAGAGCAGTTGTGCCAAAAGGGAAACTCGTTATCATTGAAAGCACTAAAAGGTTCACTATCATTGTCCTACAGTAACTTGTTTAATGTCTCTCATTTACTTAAGTGACTAAAATCGTGACTTTCTAATTCCTGTAAAGGGACTTTGGACTATGACAGCACCAACTTCAATTTTTTTTTTAATTCAAGAGTTTCCATGGTTTCTGAAAAGAAGCATCATATAATCATGTTTATCAACTCCAATAAAGGAATTGCTTAGGAATGCTTTTTAACATTTTCCAAAATGTTTGACTTTTCTTGTAACAATTAAAAATGTATCTTCCATAAATACATGGTATTTTTACCACTTTGATTAGTACACACACCAGGTATTTTTTTTTTTTCTTCTCCCATAGCAATGTTTGAACCCAGGGCCTCACACATACTTGTACTCTATCACTGAACTGCATCCACAGCTCATGCCATCTATACTGATTAAAATCAGATATCCTATTTATTGTAGGACATTTGCACCAAACCAAAAAGCTATTAAACTGTATCTCAGAAAAAGGGTTTTAGTCCAAAGTACATATGTAGTAGTTTTTAAAAATTAAGTAATTCTTGGGCGGGGGACACAGCTTAGTGGCACAGCACCTGCCTGGCAAGTGTTGTGAGGTTTTGAGTTCTACTGGTATCAAACAAACAAACATGGGGCCAGGGGTATAGCACCTGCCTGGCAAGCCTGAAGTCCTGAGTTTGATTCCTGGTATAAAGGAAAGAAATGAAATGAAATGAAGTAATTCTTACCTGATACTGTATTTAAACCACTTCCAACATTTCTCATAGCTGAGGTAGATGTACAGTTTGTACAAGAAAGCTTAGGTCTTTTTGAATCATGATCACGTTGTTGGTTTTGTGATCTTGAGCGTGCTCCCTGAGTTATCTCTGACTCACTATACCATGCAGACTGAAATGGTGATGCAGATGCTGATGTAGACTGTAAATTAAACATTTTTTTAAAGAACAGCAAAATGCTTGCATTCAATATGAAATCTAATCTACAATGTTCTATTAAACCTCTAAGGAACCCCACAATTACCAATTTTCTACCATGTTTTCTTCCTTACATTTTTGTTCACTTTTACCTAATGCTTTACTATAAACTGTTAGTGTATTTTGTTGGTCAACTTAATTTTGATTAGGTCTTCTCTAAAATTCTACACATATTTGGTTATGAAACACTGAAGAGCAAAAACCTTATATTAAGTTTTTGTGACTAAATATGCCAATCTTCCAAGATACCTGTTTTCTCTTCTTTAAGATAGGCAGAACACCCAAGAAAGGCATTGACACAGAAACTGATTATCAATACCCTAAAACAAAAATGAGATTATTTTCAAGAAATAAAAAACTCATTCCTGAGATGGGGATGTAGCTTGATGGAATGTACTTGCTTAGCATGTGGAAACACTTCCTTTGATCACCAACACACATAAAAAAACAAAAAACAGAAATTGCTGATCTGATTCTTAAGTCTCAAAAATACAGTCAAACAACACTAATAATGAGTAGTATGCTAAAAGCAAGAAATTTTGGCCATGTGTGGTAACACATGTCTTTAAACTAAGCACTTAGAAGATTAAACAGGTAGATTCCTGCCAAGTTTGAAGCCTTTCTAGACTACATAGTGAGTTCAAGGCCAGCCTGCACCACACAGCAAGACTCCGGCTCAAAACAAAACAAAACACAACACAACACAAAACAACAAAAAAAAAACCCAAATGAAATCCTAGCACGTAAAATTTACCAGTAGATTAAGAAACTAAAGTACACATCCATAAACAGTATCCCGTTTTCTCTTTTAACATAGAAATACATGAGCATAATACAACTTGTAACACAAATCTCACTCATGAACAAACTTTTATTAAGCAGTTTACTCAATAAAATGGACAGTCTCCTTAAAATATAAGTTTATATAATAAGAACATATTTAAATCACAACTATTGAAACTTATTTACTTTCATATTACGTGTTTTAAACATAGAAGACTGGTGATTTGGGGAATTGGTAGATGCATATAACGTATCTTCTTCATTTTCAATTCATTTATCCCCCTAGCCCTTTTCTCATCTCACCCCTTCCCTATGTATAAGAGTCTACCTTGGAGCTGGGGATTTAGCTCAGTGGCAAAGTGCCTGCCTCCCAAGCGCAAAGTCCTGAGTTCGATCTCTGGTTAAAAAAAAAAAAAAAAAAAAAAGAGAGAGAGAGAGACTAAGTCTACCTTATAGTTTTCTATCATCTTTCCTGTATTATTTAGTTATATTTTAGATTTCTCATATAAAAGAAACAGGATATTTAACTCTCTGTGTTGGGCTTATTCACTTAACATGACAGTCTCCAATTCCACCTTTTCATGCAAATGACATTTTAGTTTTCTTTACAGCTGACAATTATTCTATCATGTACATATGTATTTTCTTTATTCATCTACCTGTTCATGACACTTAGGCTTTTTCCAGAGCTTTTCTATTGTAAATTGTCCCACTATAAACATGGATATGCATGCATTTCTGGAGTATAGTCTTTAATTCTTTCAACTGGGTCAAATGGTTATTTCTATCTTTAGTTTTTTGAGGTTTCTCTACATTAAGTTCCACAGTAGTTTTTACTAGTTTACATTCCTATCAATAATGCAAGATTCCTTTTTCTCAGCATCCTGGTCATTACTGTTTCTTGTCTTCTGGAGGATAGCTATTCTGATTGGGGTAAGATGAAATCATCTACATTTCCCTAATAGCAAAAGATAATGAACTCCCCTCCTCATATGCTTATTTGTCATTTGTACTACTTCTTTTGAGAAGTAACTAGTTCATTTTTCCATTTTTTTGACTGAGTCATTTGTTTTTTTGGGAGTTAATTTTTTTAGTTCTTTATATATTCTAGGTATTAGTTCGCTATAATGAATAGCTCATGAAGTATTTTTCCCATCCTTATAGGATGTCACTTCACTAACAAGTGCTATGCAGATATAGTCCCGTGATTTTTTAAAATATCATTTTCTTGTGCTACTGGAGTTCTAGTCAGGAAGTCTCTGTACCTATGGATTCAAGTGTTTATCCTATGCTATCAGCAGTTTCAATGTTTATTTTGATTTTATTTTAGTGTAAGATGAGAAGATCAAGTTTCAAACTTTTGCAAGTGGACACCCAGTTTCCCCAGCATCATTTGTTAAAGATGCTGTCTTTTTCTAGTATATTTTGACCCATTTATCAAAATTCACATGGCTACAGTACATAGTGTGATTACTATGTCTTCTGTTCTATTCCCATTGCCCTACATATCTCTTTTGTGCCAATACTATGTTGTTTTTGTTGCTGCAGCTTTGTAGGATAACTTGAAATCCAGTATTATGATATTGCCAGTTTTGCCATTTGCTCAGGATTACTTTGGCTATTTTGCTTTTTCTGATTCCATATGATTTGTAGTATTATTTTTCTTTCTGAATGAGTTCATTATCGGTATACAGGAATACTAGTGATTTCTGAATGCTGATTTTACATCCTGTCCCCAAGTTCTGAGGATTAAGCCCAGGGCCTGCAAACTGTGCCACATCCCCAGCCCTTTTTATTCTTTTTTTTTATTCTGAGACGGAATCTCAGCTAAATCACCAAATTATCTGGCCGGGCTTGAACTTGTGACCGTTCTGCTGCAGCTCGCTGTGAAGCAGATATTAAAAGAATGTGCCACCATGCCCACCTGTGGCATCCTATTATTTTTACATAAATTTGTTTTTCCTAGTCAAGTTCTTTCTTGATCACACAAAAATCTGGTACATAATCTTTACAATGCTTGAGACAGTTAAGGAATGGAATTAAGTTATCTTTTAAGAAATAAAAAAGAGCTCTGTAATACAGATAAACAGGAAAACGGTCCTTTTTTGAGGGATCAATGAGCAAGCAAATGAAGGACATTACAGGACAGACAATACAAAGACATATAATTATAAACCACCCTACTGCTTTTTATTTCTAAAACATTACTACTTGATCTTCAATTATGCTTCAGTTTCAAGAAGCACACTGCATTCCTTCATGAAACGCATTAGTTCACAGTTAACACTGGAAAACAGACTTTGCACATCTATGGAAAAGCACAAGCTGAAATAAAAATGCAAGAAATCAAGATTACACCAAACCTTTATAGCACTTTTGAGTAGCATAAACTTGGCCTCACAAACTTTGTGTACCTAATACTTCACTGAGATACAATCAATGAACTGGAATTGGTACAATATCTACTCTATACTAACTTGCTTGGGATTGAATCTAGGGTCTTGTTAAATTACTAATTACCCTCAACTAATCTGATAATTATGCAACATTAAAAGTACAATATTTTTAAAAATATGGATTTTCATTAATATGTAACAATGCTATCCTACCGTTCTGCATACAATAATAGTGAAGTCAGATGAATGAGTGTGCTATTTAGAAGACAAGGACACAAGTTTTAGTTCTTTGAAAACCATCCACACTTTAGTGAAATTTATACTCAGACTGATATTTATGTTCTTAAGTATAAAAATTTTCCAACTCTTTGGAAAATGTTTATGTAAAATCACAATCTCTTATCCATAATTCTAAAATCCCTAAGTTTTAAAATCAGACCATTTATTTTGCTACCATAATATTTTGAATTAAAATGTTACCTGATACTCAGAATCCAGTCTAAATGAAGAGTCTCTTGAGTGGCAGTTATCACTTAAACTGCTTCCTCTGCTTCCAGTCATCATCCTAGCACTTAAAGAACTAGAGGGTGGAACAGATATTCTTCTTGGAATCCTTGAAGGTTTAGACTCCATTTTTAAGATTCCCTGTGAAATGCAAATTCATGTCAGTTGCCTTTGGGAAAACACTGGGGTTTTTAATTATGAATCCTCTTTAATCATCAGCTCAAATCAAGAATTACCATACAAGTAACTATATTCAAGGAGGTTACTATGAGACTATCACCACCTCTCTTCCTAAAGGGAGAAGTCTAAAGTTAGCCAAGTGGCCAAGAGGCCTGCCTGACAAGCACAAGGTCATCAGTTTGATCCCCAGTACCAAAAAACAAAACAAAACAAAACAAAAAGTCAGCCAAGATTTCCTACTGTCCAAAACGCAGTAAGAAACTCTGAGCCTAATGCCAATGCCTTTTTCTTGCTCAAATATATCTCTATACAAAGCTAGCTCTCTTCCCATTTTCCACTGTTGAGTATTCACCACTCCTATCTATTGTACTATTTTCATATACATTAACACAACATTCTCTCATAAGCCTTTGTAATATGACCTGGAATGTGCATGGACTTCTTACCCACCTTCTCGTCATAAATTTAAATGCAAGCATCTTTTTTTGTGTTTCTACTGTGCAAATGTCCTTCTTAATACATCATACTACTTTGTACTATAAATTATTTTTTTATCAGCCTTTCTCAGCAACAAATTTCTCTAGTTCAGGATCATTTAAAGTATTATTAAACCACTGCCTACTATACAGTAAGTACTCAAAAAAGTAAAAGTTAAAATGTAATGAAAGGTGTCTTCCTTTTACTTTCTACTGACAAAGTTTTTTCAATAAAATACATACTAACTGATATTTACTGAACATTATATGTCATGTTATTGTTAAGGGCCTATTGTGCAATAAGCAATAAGGGCCTTCTGGTTTTTGGTGCAATCTTCTAACCAATTCTATGTTATCTCCACTTAACAGTAAAAAATTGGCATTGAGAATTTAAGTAACTTACTGCTTAGCTATTAATGGTTACCTGAAGTGCTTTAAAACAATATTAGAATATTGAAAAATGATAATATTTTAAGTGAAAAGGTCAATCTATGAAAATCTGTGAAACTATAAAGCTAGACATAAAATAACAAAAATGAAATCATAATAGACAAAATGTTTAATTTGATTTACATAAAATGTAGAATTCAGTGTTGTCTTATTGAACTGCCTGATAACAATACAGAAACAGAATCATGCAATAGGTTCTCTAAAATTATGTAACTAAGATTATCTAGCTTGTGAGAGTATAAATTGTACTGTGGAATATTTTTAATGATTATGAAAGAAAACCTATCAAAAACTTTTACTTAACCATGACAGGTTATTTTTAGATATCTATTTTGCCCATTCTTATAAAAACATAAAATGACACTAAAGAATCGAAAGCTTTAACTATGGGGGAGATCTCTAAAGGACTATGTAAGACAAGAAATTTCAATGTATACTTTGGAAACCTACAGTAGGAGACATACACAAATACAGAAGACAGAATGAAAACTATTCTCTAAGTACTCAGAAAGAAACAGGAATTGGAAATAAAGCTTTTGGTCTTAGGATCCTAAAAGAATCAGGATTTGGAGACACAAGGTACTAAAAAATGACATTAAGCTGTAAAATGGTACAACCACTATGGAAATCAGTAGAGAATAATTCCACTATGGGGTATACACCTAAAAGAAGAATAGTATCTGGCTATATACCTAAAAGAAAATTAGAGGATTAAGGAGATACCATTTTCCCAGCAGTATAATTCATAATCAAGTTTCTGTAATAGATGGACACAATGTGACAGCAAAATGTGACACTCAACCTTAAGAAAGAAGACCAGAAGGAGGGAGAACATGGCGGACAGACAACAGCAACTACTGAAGCCTCTCTGAAAGGCTCGGCTCAGAGGCCAGGAATGATGCGGACTAAGGAGATATGAACCAGTAGAGATATGCTCTGCTGACTCAGGAACGAACTGGGCTGAGAGAATCCAACTTAGAATACAGTCCTGGCGCTAAAATAGGAACAGAAAAGGCTTGGTGTGGAGGCTCGACCGCGCGCCATTGGAAACCGCGATTTGGGTTTCCCGCCGCCCGGCGGCTGGCTGCCTCCACAGCGGCTCGGCAAGGAGAGACGCGCCGAGCTCTGGGAACGGGAGTCTGCGAATGGAGTCTGAAGCAGGAGGGACAAGGAGGAAAACTGACTGGTGGCGAGGTGAGTGAGAAACTGACTCCCTACCACAGTTTGACTCCAGCGGAGGTTTTTCTGGGCTCGGGCAGTCCTGTAAGAGCAGGGCGCGGTGGCAACTCCAGCCACACATTCCCCTCTCGGACGGGATTGGTGAAAGGTGCCTGGCCTGAGTGACGCTGCTGGCGGATTCCCTAGGCTGGCCTAACCCAGACCCCAGAGCCTGACGGTGGCCCGGAGGAGCGACCGACTCCCGCGTAGGCTGCCTCCTCCGCAACTCCCTGGGGCGCAGCGGTGGGCAGGAACAACTAGCCAGCGCAATTTGATCAGGCTGTGGCTGACAGGCAGGGAAGCCGGGCCTCCTATGTAAGATTGCATTTTATAAGGAACAGAAAATATGGGGAAGGGAAGCAACAAAAAAGGCTCCTCGGCCCCCAATCCTGAGAATCAGGCAATAGTGGACACCGCACCAATATACATTAAGCGCCATATAGAGAGCCTCATAGACCAATTCAGGAATGAAGTTATCAATGACCTGAAGCTAGAAGTATGCAGAATAGTTAGAGAAATGCTAAGCACCACCCAGGAAAAAGCAGATGGTGGAATGGAAGAACAGAAAAAGAGGGGAGAATTGCTTGATGGAGAAAACAGAGAAAGCATTGAGTATGTGAAGCAGGTTCAAAGGGACTATCAAGAAATTAAGAAGTCTATCCAAGACTGGCATAACAGCTTGAAAGAAACTAAGGACAGACTATCTGAATTGGAGGGCAGACTTGAAACATGGGAGAATGAAATGAAAAACTTCTTAAAAATAACAAAGAAACACACAGCAATAATACAAAGACAAGAAGATGATAAGAGGAGCCATAACTTAAGGATTAAGAACATAAAAGAAGAAGTAGGGACACAAACAAGTGAACTACAAAAGCTACTCACAGAAATAATCCAGGAGAATTTTCCTAATTTAGCAAAAGGTAAAGATACTCAGATGTATGAGGCATACAGGACCCCAGCTACCTACAACCCTAACAGAGAAACACCCAGGCATATAATAATAAAAATTCCAGAAATTCAATACAAGAACAGAATATTAAAAGCTGTAAGAGACAAGAAACAGATCACTTACAAGGGAAGACCCATCAGAATTACAGCAGATTTCTCTTCACAAACCATCAAATCACGAAGAGCATGGGGAGAAATAATTCAAGCTTTGAAAGATAATAATCTCCAGCCAAGATTGAGATATCCTGCACAACTGTCCCTGGAAATTGATGGAAAAACGAGGTGCTTCCAGGATAAAGAGGAACTGGGGGAATTTGCAACCACCAATTCAACCCTACAGAAAGTATTGCAGGATATTCTAAAAAAAGAAAAATACAAAGAACCCAGAAATAGTGGCGGGGAGGCCACAACGAATGGAGCAGAGAACAAAATGAAGAAGACAAACTGACAGCTACTGACAGAAAAAGAGCTCAACAGAAATGAGACAGAGAAGATTGGATGATAGGAACAGCTTTTTTTGGAGAAAATGACATCTTAATAGGTAATGCTGATTTAGTACCATCTTGTTTTGAAGTCTCATCTAGCTTTTGTTCTTCTGTCTCCAATGGTCTAAACAGGTTGTATCTTATTGGATTTTGTTATGTACGATAGTATAAGCAAAAACCTTTTAAAGACAAGGAGATTATACAGAGACCATTGTTCATTTTCTGTTAGTCGATTCTAAATACTCTATAATTCTGTCATTCTCTTAAATGGTTTTACATTGTTTTGATATACTTAATGCTACAGTATATGAAGTTGTACTCAAGGACTTCAGGGAGGGAGTCAATATGGTAACTATTTTTGGGTCAGGATTATCTGGTGGTGAAACACTATTCTGCTTAAATGGTTATGTTTTGATCTGCCCTGTTTCGCTGTTATGCCCTCTTTTTTCTCAATCTCCACTCCATTATTTACTTTTTTATTTTTATCCATTTAATTAAAGGGAAAAATATAGTAGGATATAATATAGTAACCCACTTTGACTTTCTATTATCTCGATTTGAAGCCCTGTATTACTCTCACCATCTTGTTTTTGACTGAGGTTCCTCTATTCTGTTTTGCTGGATAGTATCAGGTTCGAAAGTTTAGGCATCAGCTGAGAAGATAATGAGATTCATTATAACGCCCATTCTCGTTGACTTTTATCTACTTTTGAAGACCTACAATATCTCCAATGTTTTGGTTTTGTCGGTTTTATTCTTTACGGTTTTGTTCAATTGTATTACAACTAATGATATAGGCAATTCTATTAGAAATAGCGGGAGGCATTATGGTTAACCATTGTTGATCACCTTGTATTATGTTTTTATATGATCTATTATGTCCACCCTTTTGACTTGACCGATTCTGTTCTGTTATGTCACATTTGGTTTTACTCTCTTCCAAAAAAGCAATAAGAACCGTGGGAGCAATGAAACCCAAAATGTGTAATAGTCACTGTACAAAAGAGAGGAAAAGAAAGTGCTCTAAACTATATAACTGCATGTATATTTAAATGTATAAGATAGAAAATGATATCACAGAGTTTTATTGGATCATTGAACAGAACTGTTTGCAGTATCATTGTTGGAATGTCCACTCTACAAGCTTTAATTTTGTGACTTGAACAATTATTTCTAAGATGGCAATATGTAATCCATTAACTAGTGATTTCCTACTGCGCATTTTTTTCTTCTGTAAATCTGTATAACTTGTACCCCTTCACTGTTTTTTTTTCTTTCTTTTCTTTTCTCCTTAAATAAAAATTAAAAAAAAAAAAAAAAAAAAGAAATAAGACCAGCTCTGATATATGCCATAATATAGATCAATCCTGAAGA